CCCCCCCCCCCCCCCCCCACCAAAACAAGTCTACCAGTAAGCCTTGTTCACCCTCAGGCAACAAGTTCATGACATACGAGGCTCTATCTGCCATGGTTCGTAAGCAGGCAAGAGCAATTTACCTTGCTCCCAAACTGGGACTCGGATTTAAGGGCTCTTCAACGCAATTATCGCGCTTGCTGCTAGAAGTCCCTTTCTTACGTGGGCGCTCTATGGACAACTGCCACATGGGGCAGCACAGATATTCCCCTTCGCAGACCCAATGTCCGGTGTCGCGACGCTCGATGGTAATAACATCCTCAATCTAAGTGCAGCCGCTGTGCAGAGCTTTCCAGAACAGTCACTATCCAGCCACTGTTGTGCCGTGGCCGCAGCCGCAGCCTAGCGTACTTACAGTGCCGAATGAAACATGTCCCTGCACCCCGTGTCATCAGTCTGAAAGCATCATTGCCCTTCAACACAGGGGTTTTATTGTGCTTAGCTGGCCTACGTGGATTACGGACATTCGATGCTTGTGCATCCGCGGAAAATTAAACGTGATCGATCTTCCATCGAGTGAAACAGAACATGGCGTGAGCACTAACTCACCGGTTCCCACTCTACTAAATACTATGTATAGATGTGTGCCAAGTCAGCTTTATACTGTTTACTAGAGGGTGGTGACAGCTCGATGGTGCTTTGTCTTGTAGTTGACTCTACTGCAAATACACATAACCCGTAGCATGAGCAAGCAGAACGAAGAGGCTATCCCTCATGCAGTGGTATATACCTATTAAAGGTATTCTCACTGAATCCCCGATTAGTGCCCACAAACCCTACCTTCCGAGCCTGTGGCGTGCAAACCTACGTTTGAGGGATACAGACGCACCATACCCTGATCATGGACTATGCTATACGTTGTTCTGGGGCAGATCCAGTAGTCCCTTGATGCTGGCAGCTGCAACAACAAGAAGAAGAAGGATCCTTAGCCCCGGGCGGGCTCTAAATTCAGAAAACCACTCCTGTAAATTGCTGATAGTAGTAGTTATATCTTATACTCAAATTTAATGCAGTCACGTTACTCTTGGTAAGTTACTAACAGCCAGAAGAAGATTTCTCTTTCTAGTACATACTAGCAGTTTTCTATCCAGCGAGATTCAGGGGCAGTGATTTCATATAAACTTTGAAAAAGGATTTAAATTTTGTTCTCTATACTGCATTCCGGTTTTATGGAATCTTTCGTGCATATGTACAAAGGTCTGCAGGACAATCTTAGAGAGAAGCTCTAAGGAATTCCTACTACACTCAGTATAGAGACGGCGAAGGTTTACCCTCCTCCGAAGCCAAAGACTCCCGTCATCAATTGCTGATATTCTCCCCCGTTCCTTTACGGTCGTACAGGTTAGGCTTGCCTTCAGATATCGCTATTCGACAGCATACTCGAATGTCTACAGTTCTTGCAGGACCACAGAGTACAAGGAATGGCGTGTGGCGGATGACAGGAGTTGCAAAGTGCCATCCTCAGGCGGACCTTGAGACTCGGGGTCAACATAGCCGACCATGATTCCCCGCAGGAAGCCTCACTTTGACCCCTGCTAGAACCGGCACTGATGGTCTCCAAACCATCTTGTAGTTTCTGATGGTGGGGTCTCTTTGTCCTTCTACTACCCTCAATTTCCTATTCATCTTCTTGGCATGCTATCTTGCCACCTTCGGTCCGCAGTGCACTTTTGCACTTCCATTTCAGCGCGTCATCCTTTGAAGAATCGACTCTAACTTCGAGCAGTATACAACACATATAAGATAGTCCCTAGAATATTTCTTAACTAACGCAAGCGGGGTTCAACTATCGGTCTTCATTGGATGCGATGGCCCCCTAGACGTTCGTATCCGATAGCCTATTCATAGGCTATACAAGCACGTGACGCAACCACCAACCGCAAGGTTTCTATAAGTTGACCCACGGTGAAAGCAATTCTGGGAAAGCTTCCACCTCATCTCCTTCCCCAGCCAGCATCATGGAAGCTATCCGTCTTCATCCTGCTTCACCGACATCCACACCCTATTCACCAGCGAACCCGGCGCCATCCACCGCCCTGCGGCTAGACCGGGATGTCCCCATTCCGGTGCCCTCTGCGCCCGGGGAGCTTCTCATCCGCGTCAAAGCAACAACCGTCATTCGGGACATGCTCACTTGGCCGGAATCCTACACACACGAATATGCCATCTTGGGCAACGATGTGGCCGGTATTGTGGTGGAGGTGTTCTCATCCACGAGCCAGTTCAAGCCCGGCGACGAGGTCTTCGGCATGACCAATGCTGCCCGGGCAGCTACCTGGGCTGAATACACCATCGTCAAGGAGGAGGAGGTAGCCCGGAAGCCCTCTACATTAACATTCGCCGAGGCGGCAGCAATCCCCCTCAGCGCACAAACTGCCTACGAGGCCCTATTTGAGCACGCACGTATTCCCCGACCCACGGTGGCAGAGTTCACGACCCACTCCGCTACGAAGAAGGAGTACTCTGTGCTAATTACTGGTGCCGCGGGGGCGGTGGGCGTGTATCTCGTGCAGTTGGCCGCAGCGGCAGGGGTAAAAGTTGTCGCCGCTAGCAGCTCCAATGCCCGCAACCGCGACTTTCTTCAAGACCTTGGGGCCGACGAGGTCGTGGAGTATAGCACGCTGGACGAGCGTCGCGGGGAGTTCGATGTCATCGTCGATGCCGTTGGCGGGAAAGTATTGGAGAAGTGTTGGGAATACGTCGCTGACACAGGAGTGCTGATTTCAGTGGATTCGGCAAGCTTCAACTTCGTCGAGGAGCATGAGAAGCGTGGACTTCGCAAGGCCGGGGTACATGCGCTGTTCTTCATTGTCAGGGGCAGTCTGGATGCATTGCACTACCTTGCCGAAGCGGCAAGTCATGGAGCCGTCCGGCCTCTCGTCGCAGACATCTATCCACTTGCTCGAGCCCGTGAAGCGTATGATATGGCAAATGGAAGGGCGTATGGGCGTGGGAAGGTAATTCTTGCCGTCTGACGTATTCTTGTTGGACTGTCAATGCCAAATCCTATTATCGGCTCATTTAGGTTTGGTCTCTGTGCCATGACCAATTAGTCAATCATAATCCATCAATCAGTCCCCATGAAAATTCATCTGCTTCAGTAGTGTACCAGCCGCAGAGATCTTCAATCGCACAGACGGAAGTGCCCGGGTCGTTGTCGTGTTTCGACAGACTGTCGGTGACCGGTTTTGGATCCACCTCGTTTGCACCGAAAGACGACAGACCACTGGCTCCAAGTATACCCTGATCAGTGGGACCTCGCCCGAGGCCCAGGACACACCGAGCGATCGTCTGAATCTCGAATACATTCCTCGCTGTCCTCGGCCAGACTTCTCCCAGGACCTTGAGACACCCGAGCGTCATCCGGATCTGGTCTCTTGCGATGCCAAGATCTCTCCCCTTGAGAAGAGTACTGCAAGCGGAGAGAAGCGCCAGTATCCCCTCGCTGACCATACATGTGGTGAAAGGTGTGTGGTGAAATCTTGAGGCCGGTAAAGCCAGGAGACCGATCTGAGCCTTGACCGCCCGCAAGACGCGGATGGTATGGACGTTTACTAGATCGGGCGTGGGTGTGTCCCGGGGAGGCTCCCGGGCACAGCTGGATACGTTCTCGATGGCATTGAAATCGAGGGCCGACAACGGACGATGGAGGCCAATAGTGGATCTAGCTAGTGAGTGGCGGGACTTGCAAGGAAGGAACGTGAAGCTTACACATGGATAAGCAGATGTGCTTGGAACAAGAGCTCGTCGATCTCCCCATCTGCCTTGATGACGTGTTTCTGCTCCGGGGGTAATAGTAGTCGCCATCCATCCAAGCCACAATCAACCGCTTCGATCACATGCATGGAGTCTTCTACAGTTGCCACTTTGGGGGTTATGGATATTGCAGATGCGGCGCACTGCACGGCGCCAATGAGGTATGCAAAAGAGGAGAAGTGAACATCGTCGGAGAGAAATTCACGTTGATTGAAATCCTCAAGAGTCCTGGGGTTGGGAATAACCTTTCAACTCAACATCTAGCATGAGCCAACCCAGTACTGGTAAATGGGATTGAGAGCGTTCGCACTTACCCCCAACTCGTAATCGGACTCGTCGCAGGGCAATTCGACGGTCACATCAAGATCCATGACCCTAAAATTCATCGTTCCCAGGGTGCCGGCGTAGTAGGCATCTACAATGTACAGCATCCACCACGTGCGTCTCCAAGATTCCCTCAATACCTGGTCGTTGGCTTCCTGGGACGCTGCAAATTCCGCCTTGAACATGTGCAGGTCAATGGCGATCTGAGCTGCCTGGTCCAATTGTAACTGCGCATCGGCATTGTAGTCATACCAGAATAAGGCTACGGAGTACAAGATTCGACACTGAACTTGAATCGGATCAGACGGTGACAAGTGGGAAAGGGTAGATTCGACCGTGTCTTTGAGCGGGACCGACCATTCCCGCGCACTGTAGATATTTCCCATGAAGCGCATAGCGGCAATTAAGGGTGCAAGTGCATGCTCTGTGCGAGGGTCTCGACATAGTTCTACAAGATGTTTCCGTGGTGGGACAAATGGATGGCATATGTGAAAGTCTTTGTAGTAGGAGTGGATCAAGGGATCATCTGCAATTTTCTCCGACCGGGAGGAGTTCCCTGAGGGAGGAATACCGTCCGTACTGGGGTCACCCAGATCGACATTGAGCACGGCCGACCTGGGTGGGATACCTGCCGGGGTGGACGACATCGTACTCAGCCCGAACCCAGATGTGCTGGTATCTTGTTGCGGGCTCCCATGGTTCATGGGATAATCTGTCCTTTGTGTGTGCCGGGAGACGAGACCGCGCCGCGAAGGGGCATAGCTGCACCGCTGGCCGACCTCGCCACAGCGCGTACAGCTCGGTCGCTTCCCATCACATTTGGCATGCCGAGAGCGACAGGGCAAGCAGGCCAGCGATGAGCGTTTAGCCCGACGGTTGTGCATAATGAAAGTCGACCCTTTGAGGTGCTCGCAGTACAACTAGATATGATTGATCATCGTCCGGCATTTGTGATGGACTGTCGGCGGAGAGCAGGAGACCACGCTAAACTCTTTGTGGACGGCTCATCGGAACGTTATTTATCCGTGTCAGTTGGGGAAAAACGATGCGTTCATGCGTTGGGATTAAAACAGGAAAAAAGGAGGGATCGATTTCTTGTGCTGTGGGGAGATAATTCTGGCTGCTGGAGATTCTCACGCTGAGATGATTGAGTCGTCTTCCAACTTGTACCACTGTTTCTCGATAACGTCTCACCAACTTGATGACGATACTAGTAATCCTGAGATCGTCCTTGCCACATTCCCAAATATATATTTCAGGGAACCATAATTAGAGATTACTACTACTCTCCAAATCACCACTGCTACGATTACTGTTACTGGGACATTATAGCTCCAGGGGGTGCTTACAAAACCCTAATCTAAAGATAGGTAGTAGCTAAAAAAAAAAAAAAAAAAAAAAAAAAAAAAAAAAAAAAAAAAAAAAAAAAAAAAAAAAAAAAAAAATCATTTTCCACCCGTGAATAGAACTCGGTTCAGTTCAGAAATCTTCCATTGAGGCTAAGAGTTGACTATTGCTTCGACACTACATTATTCCCCTGTATTCTGGGAAGGAGTAGTACATCCTTGATTCACCTATTCCTTTGAATCTCTCACCTCTTGCTTCGCATACCATTCCTGTACCACCCCGTCCAGCTCCTTTCGCAGCACCTCCCTCTTTTCCAGCGGGGCAAATGACTCCACCAGCATTTCCACAACCCTCTTATCATCCACCAGTTCAATTCTTCTCTCATGACAATATTTCCACAACTCCTCCGCGGACAAATAACAATGGCGGGAAGTATCGCTAGATCGAGGACAAGCAACGTCGCTCAAAGGCTTTCCCCGACTCACCAGCTTAATTGCATCAACAGCCATCTGCACTCCAAGCGCATACTCCTTGCCCACACCTGTCAGCATGGCCGCGGACTCCCCGACGGGAGTAGTCCGGCGATCAATCACGTCTCCTAACTTACCGTCTTCATGGAATTCACGAAGGGTATACCCAAACTTGGCTCCAGCTTTCTTGCTGTCCCAAGGAGCCGAGAGGACGCCGGCATCCAATGCTAGAAGGTAGCGCGACGAAGAGGATAAGTAAGCAATAACATCCTGGTCGGGTGCCTCGGCGCATGTCAGTGATATGCCGACGTCGATGAAGTATTTTTGCAACATTCTGCCGACCGAGGCACCCTTCGTGTCTGGTATTTCTTGCACAAGGACCCCGTATGCCGTCTGCATCTGCTCAACGGTCATGTGCCGTGCGCCTTTGAAACTGTGTTCCTTCAATCTTGGACAGAGATGCTTGCGGAAAAGCTCGCGTTCGAAAAATTCCAGTTTGCGCAGGTCGAAAGGTCGACTATCAGACTCCTCTAAGGAAGGTGTCTGCTTGCTGGATGACAAAAAGAGGAAAGGCATATGGCCCTCGGCCAGAAGCAGGGGGACCAGGTCACTGGCTATCAGGTGCGAGGCCACGTCTGCACCGAGAAAGATCGCGATATGTACAGGTCTGGCAGGGGGCTCCCCGACCAGTGCGTCGGCGATGCGAGCCGCATGGGCAGCCGTTCGATCGATGGCGCTGACGTAGAAGTGCGTGCCGCGGGTCAACGAGCCCATCGTGTATAGGCCGGGTGTTGATGTACAGAGGGTGTGGAAGTCGACGTCAACCCCACCCATCGGGTGTGGGGTGAATAATCCTTTTCGGACAGCGGACTGGACGAGCGGAGATGGGATGCGATCGAGATGACTCTCTTGTCCAGTTGCTTCGATGACATAGGATGCTTCTATGGGCCCGCTGGTAGTCTGGGCGATGAAGGCGCCCTCACCCTCATCCCAGTGGACAGCCTCTCCTGCGACGACACTAAGTTGGGAGGTTTCCATCAGGTTGAGTATCTTTTGCGCATTCTGCACCGGCATTCCGTGACGATATCGCATCCAAGGAGTGAAGAATTTGGCCATGAATAGCTTCTGGCTTTCTAGAGGCAAACAGTGCCAGTAACGCTCGATTACTGGGGCCGTGTGGCGGAGGACGGTTTGCCAATGGACATTTCCTCCCTGTGCCGCGAATAGGTCTGCCCGTAGTTCAGCGAGCGGTGAGGCATGCTTCTGTATCCAGGTCCAATCTCCGTTGTTCACTCCGTCAATTTCATCCATAAGGGTGGTTGTGAGCTTGACAAGACCGTCCGCTGGGTTGGATTCGATGTATCGGGCCAAGGTGTGAAGGGTGTAACGGCGCGGGTAGGGCTCAGGCTCGCCCTGGACTTTGGGAAGGCGGCCACTGCGCGACATGAAGGTCAACGGGCCCTTGTGGCCATTCTTGGAGAGAAATAGCGCTGCGTCAACAGCGGAGAGCCTTGATCCGATGATGAGAACCGAGGCATCGGCGGGAATGGTCTTTAGTTGAGAGGTTGGCCACGGGCTGGGAAAGAAGCCCGGTTGATTCAGCAGGTGCGTGTTGAGAGTGGAGGTGTAATTCCCCAGCGCCAACACGACAGATTGGGCAGCAAGGCGACGCCCCCCTGTCAGTGTCAAGGTGAAGGTACTGTCGTCATGACGGTCAATGTCGGATACTTCGTCTTGGATGATTGAGATGTCCAAGCCCATCTGTTGGGCTTGCGAGAGTATCTCGGACCACATCGCCTCCAGGTACTCTCCATATTGGCTTCGGGACGGGAAGGGACCACTGGCTAGCTCGCTTCTCCATCTCGTAAAATGCTTGGGGTCGTTATAATATAGACCCATTGTGTCCGTGTGCATGTTCAGGATGGTCCCGGTACAAGCGGCAGAATATGCCAGTCCTGGACCAGGAGGTGAAGCTTTCTCAACGACGATGATGGGAGGAATCTTCTTGCCATCCTTAGCATGTTCGATCAAGCGAAGAAGCACTGCTATGCCACTGGCGCCAGCGCCTACTATGACAATGTCTTCGGTAGAAGAATTGGAAACCGAGGATAATGATGAGCCCATTGTGGAATGTCAGACACGAGTGATTCTTCGATTATAGACAAGCTAGCACTACAGGTGCCCTGATGAAGAAAGTATTTATCTTTTTGAGATATGAGTACCGGATGGTGGATAGCCAATCGTTCCGCTAGAGCAGGTTGTTCCAAAACAGGACAGACGATGAGGGCTATTCTTAGACTATGCTGCACATCCATCCCACAAGCACCTTCAAGTCCCCTCTAAATCTCTGTATTACCATATAATCACATTATACAGCTGACCGTAAGGCACAAGATCCCGTCGTCCGAATACAATGCGGCAGTCAGCTCGTGGCCATCTGCAACGTTCATGGGACTCGAAGGCCACCCCCTCATCCTTTAGCTCCGCTGCCGGTCTATATTGCCAAGCAGTAAGCTGAGGAGGAAACAAAAGGGGATTCGCAATCAATGCGCCATCAATGCACCGCATGAGACCTGCCGATCTTCCTCTCGTGATGAGGACACTGAATGCCGAGTACGAGTAATCCTTTTGAAAGAAGGAAACCGTGCCGAGAGTTATGAAGTTATCGGCAATAAACGCTCTTTTTACAAAATTGATTCCCATAATCATAATGACGAACCACGCCATTCGATTCAGCGACTGGTGGACTTTCCTACACGACACCCGGATACGCCTTCCGCCGGACTACAATGTAACCCTCCGTTGTTTGACCTAGGATGTGCCGGGCAGAATGAATGGTGATCAATCCATCATTTTTGAGCATACCGCATTTACACATATGGAACATGCATCCTACGGCGGTCAGAAAGGAATAGCAACTCAAGGCTCCAGACTGGCTCACGTGGCTGGCCTCGGTACTACGCACCGGTACAAACATACGGCTTGTCCGCACAATGAGAGAGGTCATTGGAAGACTCTATAGTGTGCGAGGGAGGGCGGAAAGCTGCTGAGTAAGGAATATGTCACAATGCAGTTGTCATAAAGAAGCATTCGGTACACTTATACGCCTAAGCAGCCCTTCAGAATTCCTGCAGGGTTGTCGACATACAACAGAATTCGTCCTGTACCATGTTTGTACGGCGTATAATTGTGCTTCCGTCTACTACCCCAATAGGTTAGTGATTTAATACATAGAACTAAATTGGATATATCGACTGCGATCGTTTCCGACATCCAGTATGAGGCACCCCACATAACTAAGCCTGAGGAGCAGTATTGGCACAGCCCTACCTGAGGGCCCGGTCTGGGCTCCTTCACTCCTGCAGAAGCAATTTCCTTGGCCCTCTGTGAAAACAATTTTGTCTATTAGCCTGAAGTCTTGGTCTAGAACAGGTGCAGATCGTCCGTCCTCCTCAAACTCCGAACCAACAAGATCGGCTCCGCGAGGCACACCACCAAGGTTGATCGGGTCTGCAAGGCCTGCGCAGGGTTGGTCAGTTTCCATCCCAGTGCTTGGCTAGCATTCCCGACATGAAGTGCAGCCTTGATCGGATTGGACCTTCATATCCGGATGTAGCCGCGGTCGGGGTGAGCGGGAGGGTGGGTTAAGCCAATACAAGCAGGACGGAGAAGTGATCTAGTGCAGTGGGGATTTATAAAAATAGATATACTGTAGCATAGCTGAGCATGGACGGACAATTGCGGGGCGGCTGCGCTCTGTCCGTCCCATCAGTGGTTTGGCATCTTCGATGTATTGACGCCAAGGAAAGCAGTGGTTAAATCCAAATTTTGGCGGACACGAAAGTCCTGTGTATACGTCGTGCCAATCATCAGCCATTTCTAGGAGGTACACGTCGGAGGAACCCTTACCATGCCTAGCGAATTACCAGTGATTTGCGGTATAGCACCTCACTTGTGAGGCAAATGAGCTACATCCCTTCGCCCGTTACGAGCTGCTTACGCGACTTCTGAATGAGGCCTGTGACAGCGGAGGGCTTGATTCAAAAGAGGCATTAGCAAGATTCGGTTAGTCTCGTGCTAGCATCTACGGATTGTTGCCTAGTCAGGCACGCCATAAACTCCTGCGAATGCGCGTAGCAGCAAATTGATCCGTGTGGCAAGGACCAGTGATGATTGGGCCTTTCTCGTCTTCATCTGGCTTCCCCTCATGCACGGGAGAGGATGGAGCTACACGGATGAGGGGAAAATGTCGGGGAGATGCAGTCGCGGTGCAGATCTCACAGGGCAATAACGTTCTCCGCATCGGTCGGTCACGCATTTTATTTCAAGGCCCGGGATGACCGTGATGCCAAGGAGATGTCGCGACTTGGCGGCCGGGGTTGAATCCTTTGGGAATCCTTCAAGAAGCCTGGACGACTGAAGGGAGCGGAACTTGGGAGGAATTGAACCCGGATGACGGGCTTCAGCAGGAATGGGCACAACTTCGTAGGTGACGCTGTCAATTACTAAAGATTTTCTCGTCTGTTACGGTGTTTCTTTGGTCAAAACATGTAGATACACGCTACTCTCATCCTTTCCCTCTCTCTCCTCTCTGCTCGCTCTCTCCGTCCGCCAAGCCTCCTCATAAACAAGCTCACCGGGTCTCTTCATTCTCAAACATAACCAATCACACCTTGACTGGAATACGCCAGCCCACCTTGGCTGTTCGCGCACCGAGAAGCACCAAGGCCCCCAGTAAGATGGCCACGCCCGCCCAAATCTGCGCTCCAATGTAACCATGCGCCTTGGCGACGAGAGCACCGCCCAATGGCGGCCCTGTCAGACACGCGAAACTCACTATTGTGAACCCCATGCCGATCCGTGTTCCAGCCCTACTCAGGTCCGTGATCAAGCTTGACAGCGTCGGTGGCCACATGCCTTGTAGCCCGTTGGCGCAAAATCCGTATAACACTGCAAAGACGTACAGCCCCGCAGACGAGTGGACCGCCGCCCAACAGAGCATCAGCACACCGGCGGCCACCGCCAGGGGAATAATGGTATTGAGCGGACCCAGATGAAAGGACGCTAAATATGCGGGGACCAACCGGCCCACGACGGCTGCGCCGTTCAACACAATGATCAGGTTCGTGGACTCGGAGTAGCTGAAGCCGATGACCGTACGCCCAAACGCCCCCAGGTAGTACACAGCAAAATACATGCCCCAAAAGTTGAGCCAGATGCCCACAATGAAGAGCGTGTATACAGGATCACGGAAGGCAGCCAGCTCCACTAGGGGCCCGGACTTGCGCGGCGGGAGTCGTGCCTGTAGGAGACCTATTGCAGGTAGGCTGGTGGCGAGCATGACGAATCCCACAACACGCATCGTCCAACCAAACCCAATAATTGGGAGCAGGCCCTTCACCAGGCCGGGGAACACCATTCCCCCTGTCCCGCTGCCGACCAGGGCAAATGCCACCGCGAAGACGCGTCGTTGGTCAAAGTACGTGGCCACAAGGCCCATGGTCGGGCAGAATTGCAAGCCGCTCCCCAGCCCCGTACAGAGTCCCTGGGCGAGGATGAGCTGCCAGTAGCGGGTGGCAAGCGAGGTCATGAAGACCCCCAGCACCTGCAGGAGAACACCAGCGCAGAAGACAGGGCGGAACAGGCCAGCATCGAGGGCTCGGCCGGAAAAAGTGCCGACAAAGAAGATGAGAAAGATTTGAATAGACCCCACCCACGAGATGGCGGACTCAGACACCCCCAGCTCGTTTTGATAGTACGATTGGAAGACCCCGAAGCTGGCCAGATAGCCCCAGGTGTTGAAGCATACCAGGTGGCCCATAACAGATTGGGTCCATGCCTGCAGGCCCCCATCGGGTGGTGGTTTGACTGGGGGAGGGGAAAGAGGAATCTGAGCTTGGGATACATCATCGCTGCTGGTTTTGGTCATGGTGGATTTTCCGAGCAGAAAAGCAGATATGCACAATTGTAAGATGAGCCGGATAGTGTAAATAATCAGACGTCTTTTAGGCGCTATTTCAACTCGCCAGTGGGGTCTTGTGTGTGCCGTCATTGGGCCGAAGCACTACATTGTCCTGAATGAATCAGGTCCTCCAACTTTCCGCCCTTCGCGCTGCAAGATAATAACCGAGGGGGTGTAGTAAAAGATATGCGGCCCCGGCCCTTTACTCCGAAACATCCTTGACCGTATGTGCAGTACTATAGTGCATAAGCAAGCTTAGCCGAGTAGGTGTAATTTTTGAGGGGCTGGAGTGCTGCTACAGTCATCATGACTCTGGTTGTAAAATTTCGTACACTTGACATCGGAACCTCGGGGTTCCGTGGCCTTTTCTGATGGCACAGAGTCTTGAAGATGGAAAAGCCTCACAGACTCAAGACAGGCCTCTGTCTGATCGTAACTGTTGGGCCCTGTTACTTTGGTTTTACTGAAACGAAATAGGATATATAGTTAGCCAAGGGCTTGCACCATGTCGGGAAGGCCGTCCTGCACCGATATCGTGCATATTGTGCATGCCAGCTCCGGCCTTCAGATCTGTCGAAAGGATACTTCTGCTACCGTAGTTGGGGATAATACGCTCCTACAAGCACTGAAACTCAATCTATTTGCCTGAGATCGGGTAGGTTACTCTTTGACTTACAGCCAGTTTGTTACTAGGCTACTACTGTTACTTGGCCTTAGACCTCATTAAGCCGGATCGAATACCCAATAAGTTCACGTCAACATCGATCGCTCACTTCTATTATCATGTACGGCCAGGGAATTCAGAAAATGCAAATTCTCAGATTGGAGTAGGAATCTCAATTGAGTGATAGTCAAACCTGGATGACTACCTCGTGGTGTTATTTCCGCAAGAGCTGTGGCTATTACAAGGTCGTCGAAACAAACATAAGTCAATATGTTCAATACTCAAAACCTTTGGGCTTCCTTCCTGGCATCTGCCAGTCCAGCTACGTGGGTAAAAGGCGCCTTTGTTGCTTCAGAATCCAATGATAGACTCGAGAGTGGCATCGATCAATTATCTCCAAGGGCCATTGCTATCGGCTACCCGGACGTACCCTATTCGACTGGTTTTTTCATGTGAGCCCTTCCTGCCATAAATAGAATTATTTGACTATGTATCCGTTAATCGCTGTTTTCTTCAAACTAAAGCTACGCGGGTGCTTTGTTCGCAAGGTCAAGCCGTCTTTCGACTGACTGTTAAGATAAACCCTAGTACGGGTAGTCTGCGACCGAAATCGCAGGGAACACATCAATTTAATTGACTCGATACTTGGTGTTTGTACATATTTGATCCTTGCGTGTCGAGGAGCAATTGAGTCAGGTGTAATGCCGTGGCGCCAGGAGATATCAAAGAAACGATGAGGAGGAAAGAAGTTTCACGAGAGGGAGGAAATGGACAGTCATGGACGAAAAAGACCCGGACATTCGCTATCGATGCAAAGAATACCCGTATGGACTCTCTCGTCTTTCTATCATTTCTCACTACTCCAACCTTCTCGGTACCAAGTCAAATGCATCCCAAGACGCGGGCCGATAGCGTCGAATGATAAGCCATTACTCAAGCCAACTTTCAATGGAGTAACAGGCCAGTTGGTGAAAGATGTTGGAGGATTTACAGTAAGAGCCACTTCACCTTCATTTGTTCAGAGCGCTAACAATTGCGCAGATACAGATATCCTTGTAAAATAACAGAAATGTCACTTTCTCCCACAGCAGAGGAACAGCCATACCTGGGTCATATACGAGAGACATATCACTGCATAATCTAATCATTGCGAGCAGTCTTGCAGGTATCGACACTACAAGACAGCGACTTCACTTTCTCGCGCTGAGTGCCGTACCTTGCAATTGGATGATCCAATTTGCGCACAAGCGTTGACGAAAAAGCCATGGATACAGCATTGATGAGGAATTAATACATTCCTAACCAGGGGCACATATGCTTGGGTTACATCTCATATATAAACATCATCGAATGTTCGGTGTGTCAGATCTCGAGCTCCATCTGCAGAATCGAAGAAGTAACTAGTTGTTCATATCCGGCTATCAGAATCAGGGAACCCCGAATCACCTCTGTACACCTCGTCGGCATAGAAATAACATGCTTGATTCCATGATGTGGCTGTTGTAGGGGCGCAGCGGGCATTTGGGAAACGCATTCATGGCCACAACTCAGTTCGTACGAGCTTGAATGCCAACGTCCATCATTCGTTCAGTATCGCATAGCCCAGGTACATCGGAAAGAACCTTTGGTACTGTTGCTTACTACAAACACGCCAGGAAACAATGTTACGCATGACAGGGCTCCACCGTCGTCTATCTCCATACACGACGGAGGAATGTAGTCTTACCTGTCGTGAGCCAGCAAGATCATATCAGCCTCTCGGGAGGCAGGATGCCATCCATGATAAATGCATATAGCATAATACATGTGAGGCCTGCATGGGGGTAAGCAAATCGTCGAATCGTATATTAAGCATTACGTCAGGCCTACAGTCTACTGGAAGCCAATCAATTCCTCAGTGTCGGTCCATGGAGCCCTGGTTAAGAGCAGAAAGAAGCCCCTGGTGAGGCCCTTCACCAGAAAAAGCTTTAAGGGCTTGATAAGTAGGACCACGGGAGCTCAAATACATAAATTTCCCCTGTATTCAGGGTTAGTTGCCTTTGTGCGGGCTCCGCTTTTATTTTTTTCCAATAATGATGATCTAGATATATATTCTCCGCTTACGGGTGGGTTAATTCATAATTTTGCCTCATCACTATACTGGCGTCAAAGGGAAGCTAAATGTACATTCATTGACAAGTATGACGAGCAAGCTCTATATATCAATCTCTTCGAAAGTACTGGGCAGCTTGAGTCAGAATCACACTTCTCTCCAAAAAGCTTCATCGGCAGTGTCGCTTGCCCACTTCCGACCAGCTCACCACAGCCTCGGCACGGCGAGTCCGTTAGTAATCAGATGCGTAGGTAAGCAGCATTAGTTAACGTAATCGGACAACGAAGCGGCGCGACAACGAGCCGGCGCGGCGATCCCCAATACTTTAAACAAGCCACCGTTCTGCCTACCATATTGCAACGATCGCTTCAAATTGAAGCAATTAAACACTAAATAAACAACTTATATACAAAGAAACTAGGTGTTGACTTTATCTGGATATTTGAGGCGATTATGGTCTTCTTTGTTATAATTACTGCAGCGTGGTAGCCGACGTTGAGTGTTCTTCATCTGTATAACTTTAATATTCTTTTTCTGAGTAATATAACATGCAGTAGAGCCATCTAATGTGTCTTTTTTTTGTAGAAAGTGTTTTGAAGCCTTCTTCTTGTTCTTTTTATATTGATTAACTGCACGAAGTTGATTCAATTTGTGTTAAAGTAGTACAGCATTCTGTATTACTATATCTGCATCTTTATACATCTTTTTGAGTGCTTGATCTGTAATAAGTAATAATAATCCAGCTTTCTGCAGTGTTTCGATCTCCGCTTTCTGATGATTTAGTTGATAAAGAGTCAAAGGTGTTTTACCGAGATATATAAATTAATTAGATAATGATATTGAAGGTGGTGGAGGTATTTGATTTAAATTTCTGAGATTTTGAAATACTTTTTAAGAATTGTATGGAATAAGCCCTGTTGCAGCTAATCCTTGCTTTATATTCGCTGTATTAAAGATTTTTATATATATCTTTTTAAAATGATATAAAAAGTCCTCTTTCTGTATATGGTAGATGCCTTGGTCAGCTGTATCTTTGATTTAACAGCCGTACAGGATCTTTAGCGGTGCAAAACAAGCGACATCAAGCAGTTGAAGTTTATGGAAAGAATGAGGTGGCATGTATAGAGAAATAATCAATCTTTTTTTATAATATTAGTTGAATTTGATAGTTGAATAACTTCCATGGCTATCAAGAATAAGAAGATGATACTAGTCTATTATTTTTAAAGCTGTAAATATATCAAAATACTGAAGTCAGTTAAACGTGAGTTTATCATTCGTCCATCTATTATTACTAATACTGATCTGCTAGTTATTGGGAATAGCTTCAAACCATTTTTCTTATTGTATTTTGCCTGTAAAGATAATCTGTGGAGGTAGTATACTTTCTACAGTACTGATTATAATAATTAAAGTAATTTATTTATGATTTCCAGGTTGTATAAATCTTGTATTTGTTTCATGGGATTCAGTACTGTAAACAATCTTTGCAGTTGAAGCTATTCCCATTTAAAAACCCGTTTTGTTTATATTATAAGTATCGTGTTCAAGAATCCCATATTTTTATATGGTATTCTGTATTAATTTAAACCACTGGTTTATAATATCAACATCCTCGCACTTCGCGTGTTGATAATCAAAATGTTGAGTATATTTAGATTTCAATTCAGCCTGGTGATGTTAAATGAATCGGTTAACCCAGTGTTTGCTGATAAAAGTGTTGCTTTTTAACTTTGATTTTGATGATAAAAGGATCTCTGTAAGATATTATACTTTTATAATAGTAAGTGGATAGCCTCGTGAGTCTAATTCAAGGATTCTGTGCTTTAATACTAATTTATTATTATTAGATAGCTTTCTTAAATTTGCCTCTATTTCAGCGCGAGACTTGATCCTATTTAAATGATCTTTCAAAGTGCTTATCTTGATATTAAATGCTGCTGCACACGTTTTCTTGGTAGCAAATTGACCGCGATTAAAGGTCTTGCAGGCAAGTATTAGTCTTCTATCTCTAGAAAGATCCTCCATACGTTTGAATAGCTTTAATATTGATTGAATTAAGCAAGGTTGAATGTCGCGTGTTGTGGAGGTTCGAAGCGATGAGGGTTCCCGCGCCGGCTCGTTGTCGCGCCGCTTCGTTGTCCGATTACGTTAGTTATTCCGGCACTCTTGAGCGCCCAAGGCCATGAATGACTCCTGGTTGGCTTGAAGGGTGGGGGTTACCCACACGTTTATGACACTTTCGCCGATCTATGCACATTCCGTTCCGTAATTCCGAGCGCTTGATCTGCATCCACTTTAGTATGACTGGCCAAGTTATCCTCTTCGAGGTGCTGAGGCTGAGTCGTGTTTGGCCCCGGAATTCAATCACATCTGTCTTTCTAGGATTCTTCCCACTATTGACCGGTAACGCGCATCAATATTACAGCCAAAGACCTGTCCATCAACCATGATAACATCGACAACTCCCCGCACTGTCGCCGTACTGGGCGCAACGGGTAACCAAGGGAGCGGAGTTGTCCGCGGCTTATTACACAAAAACCCGCATCACCCAGCCCCCTTCAGCGTCCGTGCCGTGACACGCGATCCTAGCTCCCCCCAAGCAGAACGACTCCGTGCCCTCTATCCAGAAGAAGAAGCCGCCGGCCGACTCGAGCTCGTGTCTGGTGATGTCTATGACGTCACAAGCCTAGAGCATGCCTTCGACGGGGTCTGGGGCGTGTTCGCTGTCACGAATAATCGCCTTCCCGGGCAAATGATTGAAACCGAAGAGGACCTCAAGCATGAACTGGTAGCGGGAAAAAATATCGTGGCCGCCGCCAAGACATCCCAAGTGCATCATTTCGTCATCAGCAGTCTACCCAATCTTGCGGAGGCGAGTAAGGGGAGATTCCAGAAGGTGTACCATTTCGACCATAAATATCAGATCGAACAACTTGCAAAGAGCGAGTTGGCCGCTGTGACGGTTTTACGGCCCGGTGAGTCGCTCACGTCAAGGAGATCCATGTTCCAGGACGTAGGCTGACATGATATGTCCCACGAAGGGTTGTTCTATACGAATATGCAGTGGGTGCAGTACTGCCGACGAAATGGTAGGCAAATACGATCCTACGGGTATTCTTGCGGCAATACTGATAATTTGTGTTGTGTAGGAGACGGGGTCGTCCGTTTTTGTCCACCGGTTCCCGGGAATAAAGCCGCAGACTGGACAGATCCAAGCTATGATATCGGTGTTTATGCAGCTGGCATGTTGAATCCATTACGACATTCTTCCCCGTCTTACGTTGCGGTAGTGACTAACGGTGATTGCTGAAGTAGAAGTCTTCTCTCTGGGACCCGAGAGGACCGCATCAAAAGTCTATCCCGTGGTCGGCCCTAGGATCCGGTTCGCCGATCTCCCAGCCATGTTCTCGACCATGCGATCTCAACCGGCAATCTTCGATCCCATCACTCTGGATGAGTGGGGCGCCACAGTTGCAAGGACGGTTGGCAAGGGGTATGAAGAGGACATCAGGCAGATGATGGAATGGATTGCCGTTGCGCCGGATGAGAAGATTTGCTATGGGACCATGGACCCCCAGGAGGATTGCTCCTGGGCGGATCTTGGAGTACGGGCCAGTGCGTTTGAGGAGTGGTTGGGGAGGTCAGGATGGCAGGGGCCCTGAAGCTGTCTCTTTATAAACCGGTTATTTGGGATATTCAAGGTCATGGTTGGCCCGTATCCAATGAAGGAACTGCCCTGCGATACGAAAAATGGTGTTCTCGTCCTGACTCGTCCAGTCCAATAGTAATTAGCAAACCAGATTAACCCTAGCTTTCACGTCAGTAATATTTCTACGGACAATGGGTAACATGAAATTCAGCATTGGCACGGGAGTCGGATGCCAAGAAAGCGATGGTAAGCTGATATCCAGACGCATTCGTAATGGGGGATCAAGATCATCCCATAATTTCCCGGATTAGGTGGACAGTCCGAGTGTCTACCGGCATTAACTAGGCATAGCGCGATAGTAGTGACAACATAGGTGGGAGTGTGCTGTGGCACTGTGATACATGCATTCCCCACAGGGGCTCTCTAGGTACGTCTTGGCACTTATGGCTCTTATGTGGAACACCAGACTTAGTATAGTCAGTCCTCTCCTGCCACTTAGAGCTCTTTCTAGCCTCTAAATAATAGAATCAATTTGCAAGTATGCCTACCCGGTGGGCTCATGCGCACATGTTCGAAGATGATAATATGAAGTGAGCAATGACGGTATCAATGTTAAAATCCACGCCTGTGGGTCCCGACAAGTAGATCCGTAAGAAAGGGGAGAAGCTCCCCTTGGATTGCATGGGCAATACTCAAGCAACTGAAAGCTGTTAGTTTTGAGATGCCCCTGAGCCGGACAATCCGGTGAAAGTCTCTGCTTGGCGCCCCGCTAACTATCACGGCATATAGACTCTCTACCTAGGGAGCCATCCTATCCCTATACTGCGCTCGGAGGATACTAGTAGTACGCTATGGGTCTGGGTTTATGCAAGTGCTTTCGACCGCGACTAGTTCAGCTGCACCAGAAGCTTCGACAATTTTACATTCATCGAGCTGAATGGCGAAGAGAGTTTTTTGGGTCAGATAGTTTCGGACTGGAGCTTCCGTGCCTGGTGGGGGCATTGATGAGACACGGGATTTCCGGGACTCGACGCGAGGGATCCGGCGTTTGGCACGGAGCACCGTCCGCATCGCGCTTCAACCCCTATGCTATTTTAGTTGACACTCTGCCTAGCGGATAATTACAGTGACATGATCTCAATCCTGCAGCTGGCATGTAGAATACATGCCCACTTGCTGCAAACACATTGGTGGATCTAACTTGAACACCCAATCAATTTTTTTCGTCTGGGAAATAACAGGGTATACAGCCAAGCGGATGATGTTTTCGATATAGCAGCTCAATGCAACAGTCACCAGAATGAACGGATGTAAATTATATTTCGTCAACATGCTAGTGACATAAATATATTGTACGGACCATCGTCCACGGGTACTCACACAGTCAACCTCAATAAAAATTCTCCAGGCCATACGTCGCACTTTCAATATGAGGCCCGATCTTCTATCTACCTTCGTGACCGTGATGGCCTTCGCGCATCATGCCGAAGCAGCGCAGTCTTCTATTGTCTCGGGGAGTGCTCCCGGCTTCGCAGCGGGCGTGACGGGAGGAGGCGACGCGACCCCTGTCTATCCGACAACTATCGACGAGCTGAAAGAGTACCTCACCTCCTCTTCGCCTCAGAACATTGTTATCGAGGGTACTTTCGACTTTGTCGGTTCTGAGGGCACCAAAACTTATCAGGCTTGTAACATCTATGACTGCACACCGGATAATGGTGGACAGGCTATACTTAACACGCTTGGGGGATGCGGGGACACCTCGACATATGACGTGACCATCGACGTTGCAGGATACCAGGGTATCAATGTCGCATCAGACAAAACTCTGGTCGGTAAAGGGACAGGCGCTGTGCTCAATGGCAAGGGCCTGCGGTTCGTGGGCGTCTCCAACATCATCATTCAGAACATCGAAATCACCAACCTCAACCCGAAGTATGTTTGGGGAGGAGATGCTCTTACGTTCTCCGACACTAATCAGATCTGGATCGACCATGTCACCACCTCCTCACTAGGCCGCCAGCACTATAGTTTTGGCCAGGAGAGTGACAACGCCATCACCATCTCCAATAGCTTCATCAACGGGAAGACTGACTACTCTGCTACTTGTGATGGACACACGTACTGGGGCCTCGAGCTGGTCGGCTCCAGTGACCAAATCACCTTCTACAGTGAGTTTCAACTGGCTGGGTCCGCATCCTGATAGTTGAACGTGCAGATAAACTAAACGCAAAATTAGAAAACTACGTCTACTACACCTCCGGGCGCAGTCCCGCTCTCAGTGGCAATACACTCTTCCACGCAGTCAACAGTGTCTGGGCTGATAACAGCGGTCACGCCATCGAAGGGACCGACAACGGTATGGGCCTTTTTGAGGGCAACGTGTTCAACAGTGTCCCCACCATTGTTCAGAGCGGCTTTGTCGGTCAGCTATTCAGCTCCGAGTCGGCCAATCTTAGCCAATGCGAGACGTCCTTGGGAAGAGACTGTGTGACCAATGCTTACACCAGCTCTGGTTCCTTCAGTTATGATGACGATGGATTCTTTGTTGACTTTGAGAACCTGCCCATTGTATCTGCTGCATCTGCATCTTCGATTGCGAGTACCGTTCCTTCGGATGCTGGTAATACCCTGAGCAGCACCTAAGCGGCACCAGAACATGTACCGTGGGAAGAAGCATACGGCACGCGTTGAGCGTGATCCTTATCATGGAATATATCCACCTGGCACGCGAGAACATAGTATGATAAAGTTTAGAACTAATGCAAGACCTAAGTTTTGAGAAAGGTAATGGTTCATGTAATTATCTTCAAGGACGTACTTGTTTATGCAAAGTGAGGATCGAGTGTAGTTCACGGGACGGTAGAGGGAGACTTGATCTACAGCTGCACTAGGACTTATCCACTCGTTTTGACCATAAGAAACGCAGTACTAGTAGTATATTGTTAGGATTAATCGGCTACAATCACCGCCATGAGAAGAGAGAGTGCGTTCATATTCTCTAGGCACACGACCAAAATTTGATAGCTGAGGGTTTCTGAGCATGTAACAAATGCTGGCTGAATGTTGCCATGCTCAATGAAACAGAGTCGTAGGGTTCATATACGCATTCGGATTGTCCATTGATATTGTCCCGCAGTCCGATGCACAAAATAATCTTCAAGCGAAAAGCTAGTAGTTGGCAGATGGGAAGAACAGCAAACACGAGTATTATCTGTCAAGGAGTCCCTGCTATTAAATGCGCCCAGCACCAATGTTACGGAACCATGGATGAGACAGAATCTCTTCCGGAGATGGCCTCTTTGCAGGATCATATTGTAGAATCCATCGAATGAGTGTCTTCACTTCGTCGGCTTCCTTCTCATCAATATCGGGCTCCGCCGAATCGAATTGCTCCTCCATGGATATCTGTTCTACCATATGCGGTTCCTCTCCTGGATCGACTGCCCCAATCTGACAATTGGACAGCTTCCTATCGGGCGTAAAGTAGAGTGAGGAGGTCTTCCAATGTCTATATAACTCATCGGGGAGGGCACCGAGCCGTTCTGTAAGGGAGAGAAGATGATCATCATCTTCATACTCGGATGGTGGAACGCAGAAGAGCGGCTCTCCAGTGATGAGCTGAAAAACAAGGCAACCAAAACTCCAAACATCAAGGGTGTTATTAACGACTCCGGTAAGAATGAGCTCAGGAGCCCGAAGGCCGAGAGGAGTGACGGTGTTTGTTGGGGGACTTGCAAAGAAATATGCTGTTCATGGTGGGCAATAATGAGCACAACTGATCTTCAAGAACGGGGGTAAAATGTTAAAAGCAGGGGGGACTGACCGCCGCCCATATCGGACAATTTGACATTGAAGCCTTCAGTGTAATTTGTGAAGGGCGACAGACTGCGCAACGCATAGATACCGAGGCGCCCATTTATCTTCCTTGCCATCCAGTCTCTGTACTGGAGGCGAGATTGACTCAGCTTCTACATCTTCCTCTTGTCGGAGCACGTCTTCGGGTGTGGAGCGGAGATCCTTTAAAGTGAAGAGGATGTTTCCTGGTTGAAAATCTCCATGCGCGATACCATTCCGATGCAGGAACGTCAAAGCATCCAATGATTGCTTCAGAATGCCTTTCGCCATCCAGAGCGGATACCGTACCTTCATCCCAAACATCCGTGGTTTGAATTGTGGCAGCTCCTCGACCATTGAATTCACATTCGGACCCATGGGCTCAAATACTAGGCATTTGTGGACGCCATTCGGACCATGGTGCTCAAACTCGCCTAGCAATCTCGTGACATGCTTCGCAGCTTCTGTCGGTGCTGTTCCAGTGATGTGTCGTAGGATGTGTAGCTCGGCTGTCGATTCAGGCAGTTGGGCCACAAGAATCTTTAGAGCGACATATCCGCCATTCCTGGAAGGGGGTTGATTAACGGCCATTTTGAGCGCGGCGGGCAGACAACGCAACAGAAAAACTTACCTCAGGTCACAGGCGAGCCAGACCGTTGAGTATGAGCCCTCACCGAGCTTCCGGATGACCTTGTACTGACCGTTGTTGAAGACGTCACCGAGGACGACGGGGTGATAGCCACCTGGATGGTAATCCTCGACCCACTCACATGGTAGTGTGACAGTCTCGAACCTCCACTCATCGTCCGTTACCGCCCTTGATGGGGGTGTGGGAGGAGGCGAGATACTCATAGTCGCAACGGAGAATCGCTGCCCTAGGATTGCCGAGCGTAATATACTTAGAAAGTAGAGTTGCGGTGGACGCCTCGCAAACTCCGATAGAAACTGAATAGTTGAACCTAAGCGGCGTTGGGCAGCGCCTCGGGCGTACATTTATAGCCGTTCGGTTTGGACGAGCCCTGTTGCGCAACGCGCCTTATGGCGCGTACTTGTTTCAAGTAGTGGCCTATCGTCCGATATTGACTAACGTAACTCCCAGCCGCACCGGCCGCCCGCCCCAGAATCATTGTACTACTCATTGCTAATTCACAGCCTTGATCAAAAGAGTGGTTGCATGTAGAAACGCGTTGCGCGGTGTACTGGGTGGCCGGCGCGGGCGGATGGCCGGTGCGGCCGGGAGTTACGTTAGAAGATTTATGACTAAAATGTCCCCGACGACTGACGGTGTGAAACAGGGCCGGGAATATTGATGCCAAAATAATTCCGATGAGGATCACATGCTTACTATGGGCCATAATTTCATACATTCGGGAGCTTATCAACTGGACATCATCCCCTGCAAAGCCTATGTGACCTTCAGCTGCTTTTGGACTATCATTCACCACGACACATAATCCGGAAACTTTTCATCAGTCCTGAAATCAATCGGACGATACTCTTTCCGCCAATGCGAACCCGTAGGCGCTTAATCCCGATGGAACATTTCATTGATTCCCTTTGGGAGTCGCAGGTCAAATTTTGAAAATTCCTAAAACTGTTTTGCTCGAGACTACGGCTTCGGAAGACCGTGCTGAAAGCGGCGTGTTAGAGACGAGAGACTGGTCAAAGCGAAGGGTGACTGGCGTAACAGCATGCGAAGATAACTGGGTTTATGGCCGTTGTAAGTGGACAGTCGTGCTGGGAGGATATCATGCACGAGTCGCTGGGCACTTAAGTTTACACTTATACTCTTGCTTCGGTGTTGAATAAATAGATCAATGTACCTATTTCAACAGGCCGTTTGTGGAATAGTGAACGTGAGGGCGGCAATCTGCGTTATATTTACAATGCACAATATGCTACGACTTGCCGTGTTCAATAAATGATCCTCTCGCTGGGCTACCGAATATGCCGTATCGAGTAGAACATTTATAGCTATCATATCTCATGGAGGCACAAGATGCTAAGCGAAACACTATTCAGGGAAGTTGGCAAGGGAACTAGCAGCGCGGTGTTGAGGGCGCTCGCGCCTTTGACTTATGATAACCAGGCGCCCTTCAACCTTGCTCAATTCCTGGCAGGGCTTTTACACATTTTTTGAGCGAATTGGTATACTCTTCGTTATATGCAGATAATGCTTCTATGAGGTAATAGCCCAGGCTATGTTGCTGTTAAGTCCTTGCATACATATCCGTGTCGCTCTCCAACCAAGTTCGATATGTACTTAATTACGACCACAAGCAAGGCTGTGTAGACAGAGCGCCACTTGGACAGCGTGACATATTTGTTCCAATGACTTGTAGCTTATTATATGAAATTTTCCCTAAATTTCGAATAATATTATTATCCATATGACGGGAGTCGGCCAGTCAGCAAATGGCTAACTTTGGCCACCATGTCCAAAAGTAACGTTGTATAGCTAGTCTTAATTGTCACCGTATGAAGGATACTACTAAGTAGCAGGTTTGCTACAAATATCACCAATAGCTGAACTCTTCAATCACTGGCAACCACTGAGACAATTAAATATACATATATATTGCAATTCTGACCTAGAATAATATGCCTCTATCCTGTCATATTCACCGTAAGCCATATGGACAGGGATTATAGGTTCTTTAATTGGCCTCAAACTCACTTTGCGTATCCATCTGTCACAATAGTAATCCTTAAGAAGTAGACCGTCGTCGCTTAACCCTTTGCTCGATCACGTCCAGTCCTACCATCTTTTTCATAATGCGATCAAAGAATCCCAGTGGCAGAATGTTACCGAGTCTCACCAACGTCGAGAACCTGCCACGCCAGATCCAATATGCTGGGCTGCGTTTGCTGAGTTCCTGCACAATCTCCCGCGCCCATGTGGCAGGATCAGTATCACCAGAATCATCCGAATTATCCATAGCCTGTTCAACTACATCCTTGGCAATATTGAATAGCGAATCTGGTGGCAATTCGGAACGTGGCGCATTGACATGAAAATTTGATCGGACAGCACCCGTTAGCAGGTTTATGACTCTGATATTCCACGGCCGGAGCTCCAAACGTAGATTCTCCGTAAAGCTGGCTGCCGCTGCCTTGGAGGCGTTGTATACACCTGCGAATGGGCCTGTGGCTGCAATGGTTCCGGAGAGAGAGCCGTGATTAACGAGAAGAGCACCACCCTCGCGGGTTGATCTCATAAGAAGAGGAAGGAAGGCCCGCGACACACTGATGATGGACCAGACATTGAGCTCGAAAAGATCACGTCCCTTCTGAATATCAATATCCATGACTGGCATTGAGTATCCAGCGCCAGCGTTATTGACTAGCGCATCAAGTGATCCGCCAGTTAGCTCGCTAACCTCAGAAACGCACTTGTAGATGGAGTCATCAGACAAGGTGTCGAGGTGAAGTATTTCGAGGCCTGACTTCTTGGCCTCCTTGAGCTTGGACAAATTTCGAGCTGTGGCAAAGACGCGCCATCCAGCTGCCTGAAATTGGAGAGCAAGATGAGAGCCGAGACCGCCATCAGAGCAGCCGGTAATGAGGACAGTAAGCTTTTTAGTCATTTTCTTTGTACCGGGGGGAAGTTGCAGAAATATCCACGCAATGCAATCTATGAAGATCGAGCAGGAGCAGGGTATATAAAGTCATTGAGCTTCCTAGCACACGCCAGAGGTATCAAGTAGCTATTGGTGAACAAAGACGTGATGCTAAAGCGCGAAATAAATGTAGTGCGCCAATCGAAACAATCGGACCTATAGAGAGCGACAATGGAACATCAAGAGCGAGTGAGGCGTTTGGGTTGACAGAAGCCGGGGTGAATGCGGTGGCGGGAAGAACCAGACCGCCTTGCTATTGTTCTTCTCCCATCAATATGGGTGCCACCATTACCTTTTCATGGCCTCTTTGTATCGTGTTCAATAAGGTTATATACACTATTTTGGTTCCAGTGGGAGGCATGGTATTGCTTTGTCAAGGGGTTATCTCAAGTTTGAACAAGGTAGCCTGAGCAGCTTGTTGAGATGTTTGGTCAGCTGCAAGACTCGGCTCAATCGAAAACGGAAATAGACCATTACGGGTGCGCCAGAACAATTACTGACTGTCGGGATTCATCAGTAACTCAATGAACCTCCACAGAAATTGAAGTAAGATAAACACCATCAAATTGAGTGTGAAAATGACCCGTTCGTCCCGGTTGATGTTCAATTAGGATCTTCCGTTCAAACGCATGGACGTGAGGCATGTTGAGTTTAGAGGGAGCATGGGGAACTAATTCTGATACTGCTCTGCGCATAGCCGGTCCGGTACCAGTAGCAAAAGGGACAGAAACCGTGCTATAGAATCAGTGTTGAATTAGTCAGGCCATTAATTGAATAAGAATTAAATTCACAGGCGAATAATAGGGACCAAGAATAATTACTATGAAACACATGATAATCTGTGGAAAATTTATATATAAAAGTAGTACTAGTATTCAGCTTTGGATCTTAAAAGAAGGGCCTTTCTTACCATGATATGTTTAAATATACTTAGTCTCAAAAGTAACAACACCGGAGGCGGGGGGCGTTTAAATTTTGTATTCAATCAAACACTCACGGCGACTTAGAGCAGATGGAGAAATGTCTCAATATATTATGTAGTGTTAGATGATACCATAGCAAAGCCGTGGGGCTCGTAGTAAGCACCACGTAGTAAGTCCTCGAGGTCGGCCTGAATATAGGAAATATGTCTAGTTATTGCCCTAGTTTTTATTCTTTAGGTTGTCTATTAGATCGTCCGCAAGTTTATCTGTTGCTTTCTGCGTCGCGGTCTCTTTGACATTGGCCCACGCTGTAGTATATGTGTGATGAGATTCATGGGCCTTGAGTAAAGCCTTGAGACTTCTAGTTTTTGCTTCCCTTTTGATTTAAAGGTCTACTGTGATTAAGTCAGGGTTTCTTTTTTCTAGCCTCTCCGGTGTCCAGTCTTATTTTCTATTCAGTATTCTTTCTTGGATTGTCTGCCGGCCATACGCGTCGGCCCGGTGTACTGTGGTCAAAATTCAGTAGGCGCTTCGGACCGGATCAGACTGTATAGCGGTCTCAACAAGCGACCGGAATTTGCGTTTAAGGGTATTCATGTTGAAAGATGTGATTATTAAACTAGGAATTAGAAAGGTAACCAGGGATCCATGCCGAGGGAAAAGTTGTTGATGAAGGATCTTTGAAAAGGAAGTATTATGTCTTGGCTTATGACTGGCTATGTGTACTTCGTTTCTTGCTAATGGATTCTCTGTACAAGACCTGCTTAAGGAGGGTCTGGAAGTGGTTGAAAAAGCTCCTTTATGTATCGCCACGGCTATCTAACAGTGTGCTAAAATCTCGAGGCTGTGTGTATGATTAGGAGCCGACACATTATTATATTTATCTACGTCAGTTTCTATCCATAGATAATTGGATATTAAGAGTTTATTCAGCTTGTCTTCGGCGCCGGCGAGTCTATTGGTACAGGTTGCAGGGTCTAATTTAAATTGTGGTCAGGTCACGTCCGTGGATTGGAGAGTTGAGTGTAGAGATTCTGCGCGATAATCCCAGTATAGCTGATCGTGCAAAGGAGGTGAAGGGGAAATCCTATCCTCTGCTATCTTGCTGTTTGTTGTTTGGAACTCAGGAATGGACTGAGTGGTTAGTTCTTATTGTTTGTCAAAAATTATAGCAAGCGCCTGGTTTCCCAAAATGGTTAGTGTTGTTATTTATATCTCTAAACGCCGCCAAGGCTAGCGGTAACGCGACTTCTATTGTTTCTTTCATTAGTCCCCAGGCACTGTTGCTAAATGACGAAGGAATGAAAATAACACCACATTCCGCTCAAGACTTGAATATGAAGGCCATTCGAGGAACCCTTCCCACAGGGACCCTACATGCCATGTCTTTTCGCCCCTGTAATCTTAGTGATATATTCAGGCCAGTTTCTTTTTCTTCCAGCGCTGCCAAAATGAATGAAAACGCAGACTCGATGCATGGACTTGAGGAATTAAACTAATTTATATCAGGCCCCTGGCTTTGGAATGAGTAACAGTAATTTGCCTGTTGGTTTGTTAAGTTTGACCTCTCGGTGTTTTTATAATTAGCTTTGTCTGCTATTGGATCAAAGTCATGTATTTAAGTATTGAAAACCTCGGAGGGCTAGTACATTGAAGTATTCTAAATAACTATAGACAATGGACGCGGGATTATAGCGAAATTTCTAAATCTCAATGCAGGCAGGCCACACTTCACAACAGCTAGTGAGGTTGCAACCATGGATTTTATATGATATCTCTGAATTTTTGACTTTTTGACTTTCTCCTGCCCTCTGTCAGCGTGTTCGTGCTGATTTTATTAGTTGAGAAATACTCTGAATCTTCCTATTCCCCGAGTGTACGTATGGAGTTCCTGAGTATCGAAATTTTCTCTCGGGGCAGTGTACATCATCATGGAGAAACAGGCCGATGTGGGACTAATTGATGTGTGGGATAGTCTCAAAGGGAAGCAGAAGGCCTATGTGCTGGATCAGATAGTTGATATCCAATGGTGTTTAGCAGGTGTGAGATTCGCTAAGTTCGGGTCACTGTACTATGGGGATGATATTCCAGACAATGCTTACTCGAATTTCTTTCTGTACTTTGACTCAGCTGGAAACAAACGGCGGAGCAAAAGGTTCTGTATTGGAACATTAACTACTGCTCTTTCTTTGACTTTGGGTGAGGTGAACTGGATATTGAACGGGGTCTATATATATTGATTACTTTCTTACGTGGTCTGTCGTCTGAATGTTCTGATTTGCGTATAATATCCTGGGTCAGCGGTTACAGAGCTGGTGACGGTGATTGCAAAAAGAAAGATTGCCACCGCAAAAGCAGGTATCCAGTATTTCTTGATGCTGGATGGACTTTTCTATGGATTCTGGCAATACCAGCGTAGTCTTTTGAAGAATGTTTCCGCGTTGCAAAATGATCTTAAGGTAGTGCTACATGTTCTGCCGGAAACTGAGCTATACATGCATCGGTTTTATGGCATGGTGATTTCCATTCGCAGAATATCTTTGTTAGAACCAGGCCAGATCCTTGGGATAATCGACTGCCAGTTATCCAGTGTGTATCTGTTTTTTATGCAGATTGGGCACCCTGCGTATCTCGATTATAACGGACCGGTTCCTGAAAAGTTGGGAAAGATTCCCCTACTACTAATTTATCGCATGGATGCAGATAAACAGTGGAAGGTAAAGGTGCTCCACAGAGCACAAACTCTGCATAATCTTTATCTAGTTCAGTGGCTCCAAGCTAATGAAACCGTCTTCCAGTCTTTACACAGCCCGAATATCCTGCGGTATTAAGTTAGTGTGGTTCCCGGCTTGGTTTTGATGGATTATGAGCTGCTTCTGAACAGTCTGTTGAGGGATGTCCGGAAGAATTGGGCAGATATTGTTGGTTTAGGGAGTGATGACAGCTCTTCTCATATACCATGTCCATTACAATCTTCAATGGAAGGGGTTCAGTAGCGAGAAGAAGAAGGTGACCTGTGGGCCCAAGGTGTTGCGCTCATGGATATATTAATAAGCGACACTGGTTTCTTCAAGCATTGGGATGGCACTGTTGATGAGATAAACTATGAGAGATCCAGGAAGGAACTCGGTAGGGGCGTGGTGAGGTTCTTGGAACGTCAAGCCAGAAATGATGATGAATGAAGGGAGTGGCTTAATGCACTTAAATTCGTGGATTGATCTACATCATGGAGTCTGAACGAATATCTGATATTACCTTCTTTCACTGCTGAATAATGAAAGTTGTAGTCCTCAGCATGATTATAACGATACTAGGCTTTCGATAATCGACGGATAACGGAAAGCAACTCCTATCAATCACAGAGAAGGGGCCTCTGCTACTCGCAGTAATCAGATAATATTTCATATAATAATGCTCCTTGCGTGATTACTTAAGCTGGCGAGAAAGTGGTATTGGTATATTAAAAATGGAATGATTGTCTATTACTTACAGGACAGCCCAGTAGATGGCTATCTATCTATGAAGAGTCCTTCAGGTGCTTATACGTTCAGCTAGATCAAGTAATCTAAGCCCCTCACCTGTACGGTCAATGCTCCTTTTACCTAGCCACCATCTCACAGTTGCTGAAAGGTCCCTGCTGGACTCCTAGTCGACTGTATCTACCTGTCAAATTAAACCAAGCACTTGTGAACGCTGGGATCCTGTCATAATTTGCTAAATGGGGGCGGGGGTTCGTGTGGTGTGTTGCCTGTTTTTTAAACTGCTTCTAAGGTGGGCAAGTGTTTGAGGAGAGATGCTACCAGATGTAAGATTATAACTTCTAAAAAGTTGTCTATCGGATGCTGAAGAGCTTCTGTGCTCGTCAGTCCTCCTTGATGAAGAGGTACCCAGGTAGATGGTTAAGTCAAGTGTAATCACTGATATTTAGTTCTACTGATGAAGCGAATGCTTCTATAGATTAGTTAACGCATTAATGGCTGTCTAGTCAACATCTGTCGATGCGAAGCCATGACATACTGTGCTGAAAGCAGTCAATTTTAGAGATTGTTGTTGAAGTTTACTCTGCCAATAATTCATTCAATCTATTCTTGTGAGGTGTAGCCAGTGTGAGGGGGCAAGAAACGGAAGAGTCCTGACTTGCCCTGGAATATCTCCGTATCACGACTGAAGCTACGTGGAGCCTCGGATACTGTGCCGTGGGATAACTGACTTCAAGAGTTCTTGCGATGGCAATGTGACTACCCGGGAAATATATTTCACTGCTTCTATAAGAAGACACAATGTTATGAAATTTTATACCATACATGGCGTAGCTGACTGGCCTGTTCAACTAGGACCACAGTCATCTGGAGTGCCCAAGTATGGATTATAGTGGGCCATCACCCCAATGTAACCAATCAAACGACATACTTAAACCCATTCAAAACAGCCCTCTGCTCGTCCTGATCGAGTCTCTGCATCGCCAATCCATCGTTAGAATCGACGGTTTCGGCCAACTCCGCGAACCTTCTATTCGCCCTGTTCAACAAAACTCTCAGAACCAAGATACATCCCATTCCTAACCACTCAAACGCCAGAATGCAGCCCCAGCTCACCCGATACGTCGGCTCATACTGATCCAGCCAGAAGAAATTCGCAAACAAACTTGCAATATTTGCACAGGTATTCGCCATCCCGATCGCTGCGGCCCTCTTTGCAGGAGGTTGAACAATGGTCGAAGAAAACCAGGCGTAGGTAGTAGCATATACGCCGTACGTACCACAGCAGATCAAGAAAGTAAAGGTGTAATGCGCCCACTTCAGGGATTCTGGTACCGCAATGAGCAGAATAGTTGCGATAATTGCGGCGCTCAGTGATATACCAGCGGGGACCGAACGAATCTGCCATCTGTCCGCGCACCAGCCCCATCCCACGGCCCAAAAGAACCCAACTACATAGGGCGGAGAAGTCAGAAGAAGGACGTTGGTGTTGTTAGTGAAACCAATCCTTTTGATGAGGGTAGGAAAGAAATGCGAGAATGATATGGTAGCTGTGGTTGCCATTTGCATGCACGCAAAGATCCACGTTCTCACATCCTTTGCCGCCCAGACCACGGCCTGTGAGAGCGGTACTTTCTGTTCTTCTGGTGCAGATTCTGATCCTGCATCCGTTGCGAGGCGGGCCTGTGCGACGACACGCTCTGCTTCAGTAAGCCACTTTGTTGTAGCTGGAAAGTCGGGGAGCAAGGCCATGGCGATGAGTGCAACGGCAATGGTAGCGAGGCCCTCGATGATGAAGAGCCAGCGCCAGGAGGCAAGACGGGTGGCGTGGCTCATTCCGGTCAAAATCCCGGCAGATATTAAACCGGCAAAAGCGTTCGATAGTAGAATTCCTGGAACAAGGAGGGCAGTTCGAACGCCAAGTTCTTTTTTTGTGTACCAACAGCTGAGGAAATATATTGCACCCGGGAAAAAGGGCGCTTCGACAAATCCCAGAAATAAGCGCACAGCCATGATGCTGCCAACGTTGTCGGTTGCTGCTGTGCAGCCGTTGATAAGGGCCCAGACTATCATGCACTTTGGCTGATCTCTATTTAGTGGGTTTGCCGACTCTGCATTTACGAGGAGAGGCTGGGATACATACCAGGTAGACTGAAGGTCGAAGCTTGGTCATGAGCATAGTTGAAGGTCGACCGAGAAAATGGAGATCACGGTCTGATACTCGGCCCCCTTTAGGTGAGTGTCCTCCTGTAGCCCGTAGACACGAGCCTGGGTAATGGAGTTTCGATCCAGGTAGTTGAACAGATATATGAGCAGCACCAACGGCAAGATGCGACGGTCAATCTTCCTTCGCAGTCCAACCTCTGTTTTTCGAGCAAATTCTGTCGTACGCCCGGTAGGTGGCCATCACGTCCGATATACCGTTGGCAGCGACATCTTCGATCCAGGCATTCTTGTTCTTGTCGTCGTTATCCATTTCGCCCTTACTGGCGCCGTGGACACTCCACTGAACTTGCAGGAGAGAAGGAAGAAAAAAAAGTTGTCCATTCCTACGCAAACTGAGTAGACCGAAGATAGTTGAAACACAAATGGTGGCGGGCGATATCACGAGTAAACCGCGACTAAAAAGGTCCCGACTTCGCGGGCCGCCTGCGGATTCTTATAGGAGGTATGTCCTTGAACAAAATTGCGGGAGGGGCACAATATGGAAGTAGGACAGATCAGTCAGGACAATTCATACGGAGCATTCCCGACAAACATCAGAATCGACAAGACTTGCTCCAGACAGAGTGAATTTTGATAGGGTTCCGCCTAGGAACATGTCCGTCCCCAAACTTTTACCGTCATCATACAATTGGCAAATCGGCTCTACTTGGAAGTCTGCGCGCTGTGCTTAACAGTTGGAACATATTTTGTTCTATCTTTAACCTGACCGTGTATCGAACAGTAACTGTGGATTGTCAACAAGCATTTGGCACCACTCGGTCTTGGACAACCATTCCCGCAGCGCAAGCAGCTCCACCTCCACACTTCCTACAGATGTCGTCCCAGCTCCCGTCATGACGTGTGGCCAATCACTACCCCAAAGAAGACGGTCGGGTGCTTTCATTGCCAGTGCCTGGACGATCCCCTTCATTTGGTGGAAGTCATCCGGGTTGCGACGATACAGAGCACCAATCTTGACGTACAGCTTCCCGGACCCCAGCATGTCCAAAAAGTCGCCAAATTCAGCGCAGTCTATATCTGTCGGCTGAGTGCAACCATTATGGTCTGCAATGAGGATCACATTGTTCGGTGTTTCGTAGTCCAGTATGAATGGCTTCAAGGACGCCCAGGTACGCAACGGAAGCTGGGCCGAAATGGTCCACCCTAGCTCGCGTATTCCATAGGAGGCAGACAGATCTCTGATCTGCTCTAGCACATGCGCCCCTGGCTTACTGCCTTCCCCGTAGATTCCATGAATGCGAACACACCTCACACCGGCCTCATGTAAACGGCGGAACTCCTCCGTTGTCATCTGTAGGAAATTTTGGTCGTAGCAGATAGTCCCGCGGATTATAATTGATGGGTAACGATTTTGACATTCTGTGAGATGAGCTATAAGCCCTGTGTGGCCATCTTCTATGGATGCCTGTACCAGCATCAGTCTGTCGGTATATCTGTGCTGCACCATCGACTCGAGCAATGCCGGCGGAGGGGTGTAGGCGCGGTTGGCTTTGAACGGGAAGCGGAGTGGGTCAAGGACATGGAGATGACTGTCCCAGGCTGCACAGGGAAGAATCGATGTCATGTTCCTGAAGGAAATATCGCGTATAACTAATACTCATAGCAAATTGTAAAATGACTATCGCTGTTAAGCAATGTCCATATGCTCTTAAATATAAATCGTTGACCAGAAAATACCCGGTCTTTCGCGGAACGGTATACTAACGTGCTAATACCTGGCAGATGGGACTTGTGTTTCAGAAACTTTTCAAGGCATGACTAGCGTCTCAGCATTCAATACACTGTCCAGTCTCCGGACAAGTCCCGGTCCGAATCCTACTGAAGCTGCAAGAGAGCGCAGATATTGTGAGACCTTAGCTGTGAGCTTATGACAGGGTTGATGAGTTATTAATCATCTGTTATCATAGTACTAGCCCCGTATACACCTGTGACAAGTTCAGAAATTAGTATATTGGTATATTGATGGAGATCAATACTGATGATTCTCCTGGCCGTAAGCACACTGGATCTCTATCTTCAGTGAGTTTGGTAAGTTTATTAATGTGAATATTTTCAGAAATATACTCTTTATGCTTGATCTTGATATCGCTTCGCAGAGATCCTGGATACTATCAAGTACTGCTTTAATGATAGCTATCTACTAATTGTAAAATTGAAAGGATATATATGGCTTCCAAGTCATCTTATACAGTGTCAGACATTCTGCTGCAGTGTGGAGTGGGTGTAAATAATGGTTGTATAATCTTATCTCTTCTCTGATCACTCACAGGTGGGGTAAATCTGATAATATACTGCGGTTGGATGTATCGCAAAGCACTCTGTAAATGGGTTTTATTCAATAAATAACTGCATGAGCTGCTTGAGTGCCAATCGCACATTTTGACTAGATCTAGAATAAGGCGTTTATAACTTAAAATTACTATTATTCAGGAGTTTACATGTGCTGATGGTAATGATTAGAAAGTTAAGTCTGTTAAGTTTATAGATTATCAGCTTCAAAGTTACGGAATTGAAGAATCGAAAACACTTATATTTCAAAAATAGCTCACATTAATTATGCTTGAAAATGAAGTATTTAGCTGTATATTGATTAACCAGTTAGTTACTAGCTATAAACAACCTGTCTACGTCTTCTGAGAGATATATGGTTTACAGCTAGTTTACATAATTATATTTAACATATTCATAACTAGATAAGTACTAGATATTTCAAAGTAGTACAGGACAAGGTATCTTCCTGAAAATAACCAAAATAGTACTAAGTATAGTAATTGAAGCTTGTAAGTCATAATTTTATTAATATACAAATATCTGCGCCCACTCCGCTAATTGCTTTGTTGATTTCTCATTTACTTTGTCATGTAGTCTATCTATATTTTCTCCCGAAAATGGGTTATCGTTCCGTTTCTTTGCTAAATTGCGAATGTGGCGCTAAACTAGATTCAATCAAATGTTCGTCTCATGATCATATATAGGTGGCGGAACAAAACACGCTTGACTATTTAGGCGCTCGCAAATTGGCTTCGATAACATTATAGAGTATATAATATCTTAAGAGTTTTAGGCTCGCACAATGGCTTGCCAAGCTCAAGAAGACTTCTTCAACGGGCTTGTATATCCCATCCACAAGTGATTGCAAACCTTCGTCTTCGCTGAAGTAAACAGTACTTGCATGCAGGAGATAGTCAATGCCTGCAGGGCAGAGAACTGACTCCAGTGCCGAGCGCCAAAGTACATAACCGCAGACACTTCAAAGAATGTGGAAAAAGCAGCGAAGTAGAAGCCGGAAGAGTATAGCTTGCGGAGGCCGGTGTCACTTCGAACCCAGGTACGTTGCAATATCCAAATTACGTATGATGCGATGACTAACGGGGCATCTAGGGTTGCTAAAAATGTATTAGCAAAGGAATAACAACACTAGAGTTCTAGTATAGAAAGTTGCACTCACCCCAACACAGACAAATATTGGCCATGGCAATGGTCCTATTCAGCTCAATGACCCGAGTGGCGGGTAAACTCGCGGCCGTTGGTAGAAATGCTTGAACCAGGACTATTGCTCCTAGATGATGAGCAAGAAGAAGAGGCTTGAGCTGCTCGTCAAAAATGAGCTCGAAGATGTGGAAGGCAGATGTAAATGAGGCGGAAAGGAATGCCATATCTCCAAGGGTGATGCTGGAGTTTCGGAAGTAGGAATCGGTCCATCGACTATTAAAGAGAGCCAACATCACCGCCGGCTTTATTATTAAAACCAAGGAAATCGTTCTCGCTAAAACTCCAATATGACGAAGACAGAACATCCGCTGCCCTGAGGGTTGTAGAGAAGAGTAGTGTTTACCGTACATATAGACCAGAAGGAAACGTCTGAAAACGAAACGATTTAAGAAGACATAAAAGATGAAAAGAAGAGAGAGAAGGATCCCACTATAGCTGCTCAGTGTAGTTGCAGTAACACAGAATGGGAACCAGATATTGTTTTCTAGTTCATCATCAGAGAGTACACTACTGCACCCGGCACTGTTGAGCCTTTCCATGATTGTGGGATAGGATAGTATTTTTGGTCGAATGTAATGGAGTGATGGACAAGGTAGATAGGATAAAATGATAGGGAATCAAGGCAAACAATAGATTATACAATGAGATGGATAGTAATATATATAGAGAGAACACTGATGGATTGTGTGCATTATGTGTTATATATCCATAGGTTTTTTTTCTATACATGCCCTGAAAAGGTCACGGGTAGCCGGATCGGCAGGGAAGATAGTTTCGTATGGAGTATAAAGTTCGGAACTATATGTGCAGATGTAAGTTTCGGAGTTATTATCTCCGAGGCATTCTTTCCCTGAGAGAGGATGTGGGGCCCTTGGGCCTACTTTGGTCCGGCCTGCGGGAAGGCTTGGCGTCACCTTCCTCCACGTTTCTGACTATCCCCGTTATCACCTTATGCATCCCTCCTTTTCCTGTTTACTAGTCATCTTACTACATCAATCACGCATCGTTTCTGATCGTTTTGAGCTACCACAACCCCCTACTTTACTCTACTGACCCGTGATATTCCACTATCTCTACCTAATAGTGATTTTACATGCATAGTATATATGAGAAAAGCCCAACATCTATTTAGACAACAATCTAGTCTACCAGTGTAATGAATCCAGGTAACAGTGACTTAGAACATAGCTACAGCAAGGCCTTTCCGGGCCTCATCCAATTCTCGTGAGTTATGGAATTTTGGAGGCTTATAATCAATAAATACTAGCAGAGCTATTAATAAAATGTAGCAGAATACACATGACAAAAATTATTATATAATAATGAGTTTTACATATAATCTATATATGTGTGCAAACATGCCGGTACCAAGGCCTGACTGACTAGTAAGATATGTTCTTTTTCAGAACTGTATAAAATATAAAATAGAAGTACACGAGAGAGCTTTTCTGCACCTCTTTGGATGTCATAGGATCCAGTAGACGGAGGATTATAACAGAAAACTCTGTCTGTGCTAACCACCTGTAAGAGCAAATACTTGAGACTTATTCTATTAACTCTCTACTGGCCCAATATTACAGAGAAAGCATTCGACTATTGCCGCACTAAAATATACTACATATTTATGAAGAAAATCTTGCACTGGTACCTATGACAATTGGAAAAATCTGAACCGTATTTTAAATTGTAATTCAAGGTTAAAACACACACTTAAATAGTTCAGATCACTATGTTTCTTTCGGAAATCTCAGATATCTCCCATGATTGTATATGGTATATTTCATTCTAGATCTTGCGTAGAAAAGCCTAATATTCTTTAGCAAGCGGCGATTACCATGCCACACGGCGCCCCACGAAACAAGTTTACGTAGAAAACCTGTATAATTTGTATTAACATTATTTAGACCCGCATCGTCCCACACAAACTTTTTCGCACTATTAGAGCCATCGTCCTATGTTCAGCTAGCTGAATCCTGGCACTTTCATACTCTTAATGCCAAGAAATTTTTGAGATCTGCAAAGACCATAAAGGGTATATCTACATGGTCCCCGAACTCCCCGAACTCCCTGAGACCCTGCTAACCCTTCTCAACACCAATAAACCCCACCACACCGCCAATCTCATAAACTCATACAAACAGAGGTCAAAATCTAGCAGAAGCCGATCCACTCTAGTGCCGCCCGTCAAGACACAGCACACACCTCAAAACCAGCTTCACCACCTCAGTAGTCTCCTTTCGCAACCAATCTGGTTCTTCTAACTATTCAATACCAAGAAGTCTGCTAAGCTAAAGAAATAGAAAGTTTATATAGCATGAATTCTTCATAAAGAAACATAATACTATAGAATCTGTTCTAAAGTAATATAATTAAATTTAAATTTAATGCAGAATTAACATAGGATAGAGTTGTAAACGCAGAGGTCAGGTCAGGTAATCAGCAAACTTATACCTACCGTCAGGTTAACGGTCAGGTTAATAAAATTATATATATCCGACCGTTAATCGTATGGTTAACCTGAATTTGCTTATCTAACCTTTTTTAAAAGGCAGTGCGGAGCGGCAAATTTTTATCTGAACTAGCCTGATTTAGCTAGGTAGATATCTGACTTCTGCCTGATTCCTGCTGATCAGGTTAAATAGTTAACCGCGGTTGATACCTGATAGTTAACATAAATCTCTACCTCAACCTGACCGCCAGTTAACGGTCAGGTATAGCCACTCTAACTCTGGATGAAAGAACAGAAATTTACATATATATTATGGTACTCTACTATTTATGATAGAAATAATATTCAGACTATAGACTGAATGTATTAAGTTACTTTAAAAAGTAGAGATTTATTTTATATAATAACCATTATAAGAATATATGATTAAGTTATATTAATCTCAGTTAACCTGGCTTGCTGGATTAGTATATTAAATTTCACCTTGAAGATCGCATCCTGGTATGGAATGATATTCATTTTATGCCTAGAAATTTTATCATCTGCAGCGCGTTGCTAACTATGCGGTGCCTGCTGGTTAACCCTCGTCTGGCGGAAAGATACCCCTCCATGTCTCGAACCAATTTGTTGCTGTTGTTCGAGTTACTCCTAGAATATTCATCCGAGGAGGCCAACGCGGCGATCTCACCATCTTGAGTAATTCTCATCCACTCTCACTTCAGTTTCTGACACTGGCCTCCTCCTGGTGTATTCACCCTTCTTGCTGTTGCTCGCTGTTGCTCGCTCATGAGATCAGCTTTTTCTAAACTCCTCGGCTGACTGTATCCCCCACCCCTTGCGGATTCGCTGCAGCCACTCCTTGACTGACAGGATCTCTTCGCCAACCTTCACATTGCCGTCGCCAATTCTCCGTCGCTCGACTGGATCATAGGCCGGAATGTGGAGCATCTCGTGATCTTTATTACAAATTTTTAGCTTCATCGTCCCATTCCGCAGATTGTCCAAGCACCGTTGGTCAAACTTGATGTAATCACACTCCTTGCAAAGGTAGAAGTTGTTTGCGAACGTCCAGTAGATACCACAGGCCCCATCGCAAATGTCTCTCAAGGGTCCCTCGAGTTTACGCTCGGTTGTGTCAGACATAGTGAGATTTTCAGTGTTTCCCGTGGCATCATCGGGCGTTATTAATGACCAAGCGGCGAGAGCGTCGGCATCATGGCCGGCGAACATGAAATGCATAGCTAAACCATTGTATCCTTGCCAGTCATTGAGTGGATCATCATCTGAAAGAAGGTCAAGGTTCTGCTTGATGTAGCCGCGTAGGACATTTTTGACCTTCTGTTCGTCGCCTTGCAGGGCGTGGTACCGAGCAAGAAGTCGCGCCGGATGTGTACCATGAATAGTATCTTCCCCGAGTTTGAGCGCTGCGACATTCTCTAGTTGCTCCAGGTAAATTGCAGCAGTGTTTGGGTACTGTAGAGCTTTCTCAAAGCAGACGATAGCAAGTTCTGAGCCGGCACGCGCTTTTCTATCTGCAACAATAAAGTCATCATTTGCATTCATATGCAGAATTGCCAGCCACTGATTGATAGCCAATTCCACCCGGTCGAGGTTCCCGGCACTATTGTCGTAATACAGAAGTGCAAGGTGATACATCAATTCAATCTGGCAGATCTGTGCCCTCCATTCCTCTTCGGGCTTGTTGGCCTTTCTTCCCTGCGCGACTCGTGTTTTGGCAGCATTAATGGCTGCCTCGTAGCTTTTGAGAACGATGTTGAAATCTCGGTCGCCGCGAACTGATGCAAAGAGAGCTTCATGGTATTCTGGCCGATCAAAATGCCTATGAAAATTTTGAATCTGCCGATTGAAACCACTGATCTCGTCTATGGAATCTTTCATTGACTGGAGAAACTCAAGCAAACGCTGGTAGTTCCCCTGCTTATGCAACAGCGTCATGAGTGCAAGAGCCGTATCATAGTCATCAGGGAACTCTTGTAGTAGCTTCTCGTAAATATCAAGAGTTACTTCACTTCGACCAGCCTCCTCGTTCCATTCAGCTAGGTCTCGATTCATATCTGCTAGCTCTGCTTTGAGCTCTGCAGCATTTCCTGTTTCGCCATTCTCAATGCCTTTTTTTGTAACCTCCAAAATTTCGATAGCGGTGGTAAACTCCTTCCGGCCAGCATAACAGTCTGCTAGTCCCCACTGTGAGGACCAGTTATCCTGCGCGAGTGTAGATGTAAGTTTGAAATGCTCGATAGCCTCATCGTACTTGCCAAAGACTTGCAGAGTACGTGCCAAATTACGGTTCTCCTCATAGCCTAGAGTATCGAGTCCAATCTGCGCCTGCGCCCATTTTGCTGCAGCTAATATATGGGAGGTGTGGACATGCTCAGTATCCGGGTCGTTGACCAATCTTTCGATCTTAGGATCCTTACGGTTCTCAATCTGAAGAAGAGTCAGCCATTGATCTTTGCCAGGGAGCGTATGGTTATTATATACCTTGGTGATGTACCCACGCACGTCATTGAACACATATTCAAGGTTCCTTGGACCGTACTGGAGCCACTTGCGAGCACAGACTCTGCCGATATGCTCAAGGAGATCTGCATCAAGCTCGGATTTGGAACTCAGACTCTTGACCCACTTTTTCTCCTCCTCGGAGATATTTTTGGTGACGGCAGAATCTTGGAGCCATTTCAACGTGACTTCTGCATAGTCATCGTTGTAGATCCATAGGACCCGGAGTCGGTAGCTGCTCGCCCTCCACCATCGATTGATGACCTCGTCATCGGTAAAGATCTTCACCAACTGAGGGCCTATTGCTATTTTTTGATGCGGGTGAGTTAATGAAGGGTCCGCTTGCTTGAGATGCTCGCCCAAATTGTTCTCCGCATACCGAAGCAAAGGATTCAGATTTGGCGATGGTTCTGAACAGATAACTTCCAGACATGCTGACACGATCATCAGATGTGCCGTCTCGGTGTCCACCGCAATTTGCACTGTTTTCCCTTTCATTTTACGCTTGAAGAATTCATCGAATCCGAATCTGTTGAACAGTTTCGGGTCGCAGACGGACTCAAGGAATCGTCGCACAATCCTTACTTCGGCCTCACTGACATCGCCGACGGTTTCAATATCATGGTCGTCTGTGATGCCTTCTGGAGCAGGATTTTTACGGAAGAAGTCCTTCATCGAATCGGAGACAAGATGAACGCGTGCGCCTTCAATGCAAAGCAATGAAGAATACTGGTCTCTTATATTCTCTGCCAGAGGCCGGAGAGAAGGCTCACGACTTTTAAGGAAGAGCGCAGCTTCCAGCTCCTCGAGGGTGAGTGGATATTCTGCAAACACGACCCACGTGAGCAGATGATTGAGATCGGAGATATCCTCGTCGCTGAGCGTCTCGTTGAGCATTTCCACCTTTCTCGCAATCGTGTCCGATCGATTTTCTCCCGACCGGGCCAAAATGTCGCGAATCTCGCTAGGGCGTTTCTTGCGGCTGATTTCGTCCAAGAGGAGTCCGACGTTGACAAAATCGCCATTGGTCTCATTCGTGAGGGTCTCCAAAATATCGTGGCGTAGCGCAATCACTTGTTCCGACGGTCCATTGAGAATCTCCATCTTGTTCATTCGGTCGTTGATGAAGTTAATCATATCGCCACGATTCGCGCAGGCCAGATGGATGACAGAAATTTCGCCTTCCATTTGAGTCTGGATCTTGTCCATCGTCTCCGTCCGCCCAATTAGGAGGATACGAAGAGTGAACCGAGGCCATGTGGAAGCAGTGCTCTGCCATTCACGTAGAAGCTGCACAAACTCCTTCAGATGTTGCTTGTCCATCTGGTCGATCCCATCTATCAAGAGAAAGAATGTGGAGTCGGTCTTATAGGATTTGCCAAAGAGCTGCTTGCAAAGGCTCCCAATTTGGTTGATACCGGCGGTCTTGACTGAGCCCAACTCCTTGCGATACACCACATCCGCTTTGGCAATTTGCCATGCCAGGACCTCCAGCACCTTGATCAGAGATGAGTCTTTCACCTCTTGTTGATCGAAAATATAGTAGCAAATGGAGGTGCAGTTCATGTTCTCTGTAGCCTCAGCGTACAGTTCCTGCAAATGCTTGACGATAGCCGCAAAAAGGAACGACTTGCCACAGCCCTCACCTCCCGCGAACCCCAAAATGGAAAACCGCAACCGTCGGACATCTGCCCATGCCGTGTATAAAGGGTCATGTTGAAGCCATCCTCCACTACCCGAGACTTGGTCATTCAAGCGACGTTTGTAAATCGCCTGGATAGCCTTGTACGTCTCGCTGGGTGTGCCGAGACTTGCATCAATGTTGCTTAAGATTCGCTGCGCCATATTGTCCGCGTCTCTCTTCCTTTCGAAGGTAAGCAGCTTGTCAACTGAGGCATTGACCTTCTGAGTTTCTTCTCGTGTTTCGACGATCACTATTTCGCTGGTCTTCTGTGACTCGAATCCCAGAGTCGCTCGCATCTGAGATTCACGTTCAACCAGCAAAGCCAGACGGCCCAATTGGCCGCTGACACCTTCATCGCTATCAAACGCAAAAACTTTGAGGGCAGTGAGAATCTTGTTGCCCTTGAGCACCTTGATAGACAACGCACAAATATCGACAAAACACACCAATTCCTCGTTGATAATCTTGCGGAGGGAAATGTCAACGGCGTCTGCCGGCAAACGCATATAGATCCTGCAGCGCTCTAATACATCGGAGATCCGTCGGAAGAGCTCAGCTAGACTACTGAAAATGCGCTTGTATTTAGCTCCGGTGGCAATTAGATATGAGACCGCATTGAAGCAGAGGCTACTAGGTGCGAAGACCTACAATACAGATTTCAGTTAAGAGTACTGACCTCTCCACCCATGAGTATACTCACCATGCTAGCACCCTGGGCAGCTATACCCCCAAGCACCGTGATCAATGTCAGGGTCTTGCCTATTATATTCTTGGCAGTCTTGAATTTTGTGTTTTTCTCGTCGTCCTCATCTTGCTTTAACCGAATTTGGTCAAGGACCTCGTCGACGGTGAATTTTGGAGACGTAGTGAGATCGACTTTGGTCGTCTGCGCAAATGCTTCACAAGCCCTTTCCCACGCTTCCTGAATGTTATAGTCGTCCTTGACTTCAAAGGCGGACATGTGGACGATACAAAATGCCACTTGCTTATGAATGAGAGTTTGATGGGACACAATAACAGGTTACAGATTGTTCCCTGGCTGCCAGCACTCTTTGTAACCAGACTCGTACTTCTGCTGTGCGGATTGCACCGTGAAAGGAAAATCGTTTCCGCCGCAGATTTCCTGGTGTTTTATCCTTGGCGTGGACCTTAATGCAAGACAAGTGGGGGGAGTTTCTGCCCAAGGTGAGAGCCGTAGTGTTTTCTCCAATGGCGATAGGGCATGGTCCTACCTGGAGTAAGCCCTAGAGCTCTGATTATTCTGGGATACGAATGGAAGCAAGTTTAGCGTCGAATTCGGTACGAAAACCTCGTATCGGAACAACCATACCAGCCATCCTAATTTCAAATGTATTTAGCGCAAAATCAAAATTTTCCCCTTCAATAACGCCTGCGGCGACAGCACCCAGCAAACCATTCTGTCACTGGGGTGCTAGCAAACGACAGGATGCAGGATGCGGTCGCCGATGTATCATGCTGCCTATGTCGCAAGGCCGATTGCCCCAATCGCGACTATGATAATTTTAAGACTCTCTGACATTAAGATGTCAAAGCGCAGCGCGGAACCAAACCATGTTCGGTACACCACAGATGGCCAGTAGGGCAAGGGGTTATTCACCAAAACAGTTAGCATCTCTTTTAGTATTGGCTTAGAGCGGGGCTAGATCAATTTAGGTAAACCGCTGGTCAATTCATTCCGAGTAGTCGCACTTTTATTCCAATTCCCACCCTCCCCCCTCCCCCTCTCTCCCTTACTAGATCCGTCTAAGTCCGTCTACCCTTGGCGGGAATCTCGCACAAGTATCATAGAACACAAGCCGGGCTTGCATTCCATCTAGCTCCGCGTTTGTGGGTTGCAAGTGAATATTGGAGGCTTCTTGCGGTTTTCCTCCCTCCAGATTCCCGCCGCTCTTCCCTTATGGTATAATTTACGGTGATGTAATGGTGATTTTGTTTTGTAATAGACCCACAGCCAAGCAAGATGTTGCGGAAGGAATTCAACTGAGAAACTCGGTTCATAGCGACGGTTCTTGTTGTTTCATCCTCAATTGTTTAAACATTGCTGGCAGATGATTGCAGTGATGAAAGGTTCTTTTCTTCCATTGCAACTCAAGGCTCGGACTGCCTTGTTAATACAGTGGACTGAGTAGCGAACTCCCTGGGCATTATTTCAAAAGGGCGTGTATGTTTAAGCACCAGGGACCGTTTAGCTGGGTGCAATGGTGCAAGATGGGAGGCTGGTAATCAAATCAACCAGCCTATATGCGGCCAGGCCAATTATTCTAAGCTCGTGAAGTGTAATGCAGTTTCTCCTTCACCTTTCCAATCTATTAGTGATCTGCGCAGCTCGGCATGTGAGCTGTCTCTACTGTTTTAGTACCCCTTTACATTCGCAAATATTCGAGACGGAGAGCCAATTGGGTAAATATAGTTAGGTATTTGAATGAATGATGTACTAAATTCCACAGACAGAGCGTTCAGTTATAGGGGAGGGGGCGAATGGGACGGCACCGCTATCCATAGAGATTCCTTTCTATTTAACGGTTTACTAAGCTGCTTAATGAGATTTCGGGTAATACAGAGTACTGTAGCAGTAAATCGTCGCTTTGTGTTACACGTATGATTATTATTGAGCTGAATTTGAATTATAGATCATGGACTCCCATGACATACTTGTCAAGCTTGTGGGCCTACTTATGGAGTGACGATTATTCAGACGCAAGGAGTGCCTTCAATACTAGTAGTCGGGGAAAGGGACCTTTAACCTCTCATGTATTGAGTATTATCTTTGATATGTTATGAAGCTTGTCCGAGCACATACATAAGAAGCATGAGTCGGCTGTCTGGTTTATTTCAATATTGGTTTTTTAGTACTAATTAAACAGCTCTAAAATGTTAACATCATGGCCATTTTAATACGGAAATCCGGTGACTCGATGAAATCCAGCTGGCGCGGTTGGGATTGAAAGTATTGGTATATGGGCCACTGGCTCCTGTAATCGCTTGATGTTTATTGTATTGATCTGGATAAAAGTGTTCTAGTGCATCCAAAGGCAGGCATGGTCCCATATGCTGAAGAGTGGCAGTTTCACTTTCTCATTCCCGAATCCTCTGTTAGCTGGCTACGCCGATACTGTACAAGAGGCTTTTGATATCGTGGTCATCCATCTTATGACTTTCGGTAGCATGGAGCTTCTTGGACTTCTGATTCCTTCTATGAATGGTGGGTCTGTCAGTAATAAGTCATCTTCACGGAGTTGCTTGGACACAGTGGTTTGCGTGCTGAAGCCACCGCAGTCAATCCTATGACGTGGCTAGTAAGAATGTTTGATATGGAGCTTGTAATTGAAGACCACGATCTTCACTATCGGAACGGGTGGAGGCGCAGCCATAATTATGGCAAGCAGACTCGGCTTTGGGATCGTCTCTTCGGGACAACATTTCCCGTGTTGAGGGTTACAAAGGGAAGATTGAATATGTCAACACAGCCAAATCCCTTTGTGGTGATTGGACCTTCTATCTTTTCATTCCCATATATTATTCTTTGCTCCTATACACCCATGAAGTGAAGAAGAACTGCCATACAAATAGCCCACTGCATGATGTGTTGAAAAGCTTTACGACTACTGTAAGCCGTATAAGTCCTACCTCTTTAGTTTGGACTCTGTAATACGACATACGACATAACGAGCATATTATTGGAAAATTAAACTAGACAAACCATGTATTTGATTGTTAAATTAGTGTGCACGACTTTTAAACTAAGACTGGAACGAATGATGGACCAGTGGTATGCAAAGTATAGGGGGGTGATATACCGTAGTGGGAACCGGGAGGAAACAGCGGTAATAATTATTGATAGATCCCCGACCGATTTTGTAGTTCGCCTGTGCCATACGTTACGCTCGGAAAAAGAAAGCTAGAGACTTTAAGTTTATCTTTGAGTCGCCTTTGTTTTGGGCAAAATGGCTAAGCCTACCTAAGGGGCGGAAGCTACCTATATCTAGCGAGTGTTCTGGCGCCCATGCGATCCCCTGTCGGAACAGGCTGGTAATCCGTGCTCCCGCCTATAGGTATCCAACAGAGGCAGCGAAGGGGACCAGCTGCAGGCCATATGGTTTGTTAAATGGCTCGCTTATTTTTCGCAGTGACCACTACCACAGGTCGAAGGATTTGTATTAACCACGTACAGAAAACATAAAGTAGTTCATCATTCTCTATCTCATCAACCACCTCCATAACATGAGTAACAAGTAGGCATTTTCCGGTCAAATATGGCTACTAAACAAACAAAAAGGCGAGCGAATTGTCGATCTATATAATACCATCTACCCCTTTCTATAACCCTGGGATATATCTAGATGGTTATCAGCCATCTTCGACCATTGATCAGCTCCGCAGGAAGGCAATATCGACAGTCTAGTGGACACTGTGACCATAATCCCTTTCTTCTTCCTGTCTTAGGACTCAGCCTTTTTGGTAGCTTTGGTCCTGAGTTTCATCATAAGGAATACAAGCCCGTAAATACCGACCACAAATACAACAACAATGCCTGCATTTCTCCATCCATAGTATTGTTCCTGCAGATTCAGTGTACGGAGGTAATCTCCGCCTTCAGTATACTGGCAGACTCGGCATCCGAGGTTGTCATCCGGGTTCAGAAGGTTCGTGGCTCTGCCGGCGCCCTGCTGATAGACATTGAGATATTCACCACATGTGAAATTGGGAGCCGGATCAAACACTGCTAGCTCCTCGGGCCTGCAGTGCACGGGCTTGTCCCAAGTAGTGAATACCAGCAGAGAGCTCATGAGATAGTTGAAGGGGTCTAGGTAGTACATCCTATGGGAATAGCTGTTATCATCTATACTACCATTGTACACGCAGGGACTTACCAGTATCGCCAGAATGCCACGATCTGGCTATATGGAACCATCACTCCGCAGAACGAGACGAGAGTGGTAATCACCAGAGGGTTGACCAGAGAGGCAAAGACGGCATTTGGTGTGTAAGCAGCAATCATCTGGCCTATGCCCGTGTATAGGCACTCATACATTACCTAGGAAGGAGTTAATGTCAAATTTCGGGAGCGGGAGGTAGGGTAATCAGATGCCAGGAGCGCGGGCTTACTGCAACAAAAAAGACGCTTCCAGCATGATCAGCGGAGGTGGGAAGGCCGCTGGTAAAGTACCAGCAAACGTAGTACAGCAACGCACAGACAAGCAAGTAAGGGAACTCCGAGACTATAAGACCAGTCACGAAGGGAGCCCAGTGGTAAATCTTACTTTTCTTCTCTCGCGCCTCGAAAATGTCCCGGCGGTCAATAAAGAGTGGCTGCAACTGGGAGATAACACCCGGAGCAACAAAGATAAAGTTGAACACAGTAAAAAGGTTCTGCTGTAGATCCGTGAGTGCGTCTCCAATCTGCCAGAAGGTAAAGCCGTTTAGCAGCGCTAGGCTGATATGCATTGCAAATTTATTGTTGAGGTACTCGGTGTTCCGATAGAGAGAGACATTCATGCGGTGCGTCACAAGCTTGGCTTGCGTCCAGAGCGAAGCAGCAAATTCGTGTAGATCATCATTTGCTGCTGTAGGTCGAGCTACAGCATCAGCGACCAGGCAGTCCAGTTCCTTGGAGAGTTTGTCATGCTCCGGCGACTCCAGCCAGATCTGGTTCCAATCAAGGTTCCCGCTTGCCGATAGAACATCAATAATATGTTCAGCAGGATTGGCCTCAGGTGGGCAAGGCCTGCCGTGGCGTCCAAAGTATTCCTTGACAATGTTCGCATTCTGTCCTATATCTCCAAAGTACACAGTCTTGCCGCCGGCAGCCAATAATAATAGTTTATCGAATTGCGCAAACAACTGTGCCGAGGGTTGATGGATGGTCACGAGAATAGCTTGCCCTACTTCGGCAAGCTTGCGAAGAAATCGAACAGTATTATAGGCCGCCTGACCATCAAGCCCAGATGTGGGCTCATCAAGGAATATCAAGATACTCGGCTTTGCCACAAGTTCCACACCGATAGTAAGGCGTTTACGTTGCTCTACCGAGAGACCGGCGCCTGGCCGACCAATGAGGGTATGTTCAAGATCATTCAGTTCCAGAAGATTAATAATGGTGTCCACATATCGCAGCTTTTCTTCAGTGGGTGTATCACGAGATTGGCGTAATAGCGCTGAAAACTCGAGGGCCTCACGGACAGTTGCATAGGGCTCGTGAATATCCAACTGTTCAACATAACCAGCGGAACGTTGAAAAGAAAGGGGAAGAGGACGACCATCCACCAAGACAGATCCATGGATTGATCCCGAGGTTTTGCGTTGTGCGAGAACATCCAGTAATGTCGTCTTGCCAGCTCCAGACGAGCCCATTAGAGCTCCAAGCATACCGGGCTTGACATATCCTTGAACATTGTCAAGAAGGACACGGTCGCCGTCGGCCGTTGGGACAGTATACGTCAGGTTCTTCCAAGTGAAAATACTCGTGTTGCGGAGCAGGTTATTTCCGAAGCCCTCTCCTGAAGCATCAGAGCTGGAACTGACACGCTTCTCCGTGGGCTGCGCTTCCTCGTCTCGGGCCTGCAAAAGATGTTTTGATTTATGCTCCAACTCTCGAGGAATCAGGATTTTACGGTCTCCTTCCCCAAGCAGCTTCCACCTGGAAGTGAAAATGATCGTGAGCACAATGAAGAGTACCCACCAGGCACAGATTATTCCAAAGTTACGCCATATATGACTATGGCTAAATGACATGGCTGCGAGATATTCATCACCGGCCAAGCTCGTCGCCCCAGGCGATGCACCAATAACACCGGCACATGATTGCCCCCCTTCACCAACATAGTCAGGGCCGCTGGGAACCAAGTTAGGTCCGTAACACGGGATAATCTGATCATGGAATTCGTTTCCAAGAAGAGCTTCAAATCCGTAGGCCATAGGGTTGATCCAGAAGATCCACACGAACCATGGATGCATCTGGGGCTTGATAATCATATATCCCATATAGACAAACAGCGCTACGATCGAGAGTCCTGAGACTTTGGACGCAGCGTCGAAAGTAGGGAATGCGGCGCCGACTAGTCGAAAGAAGGCTGTCATAGACATAGCGGTCATGAAGTTGGTGACCAAGTAAGTAAAGAATGCCCCGGCTGTAGTCTTCAGTCCAACCATGAAGTATAGGATAAGGCCGAAATGCGTAACCTGAAATAGTAAGATTGGTATATCCGCCGCAATCTGGGCAATACAAATGGCTGCGGGGTGGTACAATGCGAAGGAGCGGTGTTTTGCGAGAATAGGTCGACCTGTAAACGAGTCGGTAACCTCTGATAGGGCTATCAAAGCATTGTATAAAATAGAGAAAAAGAGGGCACCACCCTTCAGGAAAAGGCCGATAGAATTATCAGGCGCAGAATAGAAAAGAGAACCACCCAAGAGAGCCTGGATAACAGTAGCGCCTTGCTTCATAAATAGAGTCGTCTTGTCCCCCCACATGAGCTGGTACTGCCTGATAATCGCAGCAGTTAATTGAGTGACAAAACCAGTTGTGACGGAGGACCTTTTTGACACACCCCTGTGCTTTTCACGAGCAACCATTTCTTTGAATACAGTCGTGTTGTCAGCCGCTTCTGTGCTTGTTGGGTAGCTCTGGGCCTCCTCCAGCATTTTGAGCTTGATATGGGACTGCTCGTACGCAGTACGGATCTCGTCGGCGGTGTGTGGAAATTTGTCCTCATATCCAGGGGAAATGACACGTTCAGTAGGGACTGTCACGCCTGTTAGAAAATCACTCCGGTTAGAACCCGGATCGCGCATGAAGCCTAGGCCCTCCATAAATGGAACAGCATTCTTTTGAGGTCCATAGAAGATCTGTTTACCCTCATCAAGAAGCAGAACCTTATCGAAATGTTCGTAGATGCCGTTCCCTGCCTGATAGAGAGTGACAATGGTACTGAGCCCTAGGAGGTCTGTCATCACCCTGATGGCCTTGACCCACTCAAGGGCAGTGCTGGCGTCAAGGCCTCTTGTCGAATTGTCCCAACAAAAGACACTAGCACGGGTAGTAAGACACTCCAGAATTGAGACGCGTTTCCTTTCTCCTCCGGAGACACCCCTGATAAAGGCATCCCCCACCTTAGTCCGTGCGGTGTGAGAAATTCCAACCGATCGCAGGAGAAAATCTTTAGAGGCCTGAACGCTTTCCTCATGAGTCGTGATCCCAGGTGGTAGTTGATATGGGACTTTCATGCGAGCGGCAAAATCGATTGTGTCTTCCACAGACAGTGTCGGAAAGAAGATTTCCTCCTCCGTGTTCATAACAATCTGGCCACGGTACTGCCTGGCTTCCTCAGCAGACATGTTTCCAAAGCTGACGTGCCCTGTGACTTCTTCGTAGCCGAGACGATTGTTTGCGAGTATGTTCAGCAGCGTAGTGCAGCCCGCCCCAGGTCGTCCCAGAACGAGCAACATCTCCCCTGGCTTGACGCATCCAAACGAACTTTCAATGATTGTCCTAGTTTTGCTACCTTTGCCACGCCTATGGAAGGGGAAAAGCTGGGAGAGGACGTTCTCATTGAACGTTGCGTCACCGCCAACGCCTTTCACAGTGAGGTTGTCCCAAGCGACACCGAGCATTTTGGGCTTCTCTCCGCCCTCTTCGTCTCGTTCCCTGATCTGGAGCAATTCGGGCGCCATGCGCCACATCGTTTCCGTACCATAGATAGATTTTTTTTTCATGTCGGCCGTGGAATCCGCCAATTGTATTCCACCCTTTTCAATTATCGACTCGGCATGCGTGGTGGATGAATCCGATGTCATGTTTGATGACAGACGGACGTGATAAAGCTACCGATGATATAACCGCTAACGAATACTTAGGAGGAAAATCAATTATTGTGCACGGCCTTATACTGATAACGAACGAGAAGGGTTTTGTATCGGTGTTTGCATCGGTGGCACAGTACCTATTATATTGCTTTCTCAAACCAGACGACCAAGTTCCCATTTTGCGCCGTCCCATATTTTTGGTATAAGTAGGCATTAAAACCCTGCCCTGGCCGGATGATGAATATTTGTTCAATTACTCAACATAGAACCCCCTTGCGGAATGATGAGTTAATGAAGCCGGCTGAAATCAAATTATGGAGCACGCTTGACCGGAGCGATTACTATGCATTCCAGCCTTTCCAATCTTTGGAGTTATCGGTAATGGAGTCTCATCGCTGGAACGCCCCACTCTAAACCTACGTAGCAACCAGTTGCAATTCTGCGTCGTAATCTGTGCTAAACCATGACCCGGAATTCGGACACGGCCCCTTTGGAGTCGGGCATGAATAGTAATCAAACCGAACACTAACAAATGCCGTCAGCACTAGACGTGGCCATTAGCCAATAATGTCAATCAAAGTGACCGGATACCGGGAATACAAAGGTCCGGATGATCAGCCATCGATCCTGACGATCATATTTCAACTGTACGAAGTATTATATGTTTATGGGATACAGAGGGAAATACTAAGGAGCCAGAGATTACAGACAACTCAAGAAAGCAGACCCTCATTCATTCGTTTAGTGACCATTACTTTGGTGTTTTTGAGAAATAACTATTTTGTTTGACAACTAAATAGTTATTCACTAGTCCAAGGGTTAGTCACCCAGACCACAACCCGAGTCCGCCCCAGATTTCGCCATTGGTCGGACCGCCGTCAGTGGCAAGCCTTGCGAAGACAATATCAAGACACGACACATTGCTACTAAGACGGTAAATAAACGGTCCCGGTAATCTTTTCCCTGACGGTGCTATCTCCTACGCATACTTGGCGGAGCTTTCCAAGCGCTTCTGGCAAAACGGCGTTTATGTGTGTTACGAAAGGCCTTCATTAAACTACCTACACTTTCCAAGGTGAGACTGCTTAATTAGTCCAAGCCGGCGAGAGCAAGAGTGACGGACAGTATCTTCATATAGACGCCCTTGTTGGTCAAAGATGGCGGGTTCAAGAACCCCTTCTCCTGATGAGTGTCATACTGGGCGGAGGAAAAGGGGTCGTCCCAAAAGCCAGATCAGGCAAGATATGTCCCCAAATGTAGGGTTTCCGCAGGTGTCAAATATACAGGAACGCTAATCAGAAAGCAAAGAGGCGGAGGACCCAAGTCAGGTTAGCACAGCGTGCGTATCGTTCACGAAAGGAGGCTGAGCTACAGGCACTGAAGACTCGGGCTCATGAACTGGAAATGCTCATCGAACGAATGAATGAGAAATTTATTTCCTTCACCGACGATCTGATCAAATCCGGCATGCTCTCAAAACGTCCAGATGTTGCGTGGAGTCTCCACCAAACCATAGCGCAATCTCTATTTCTTGCAAATCAAGTCGTTTCTGTGGCAGCAGATGACGCTGATCCCCTCGATGTTGAGAGAAATGTGCCAGAGACAAGAGCGAGCGGAGCGGACATTGATGCGACCGAAGGGGATATATATAATGCCAATGATACATACGATTACGCCAGGATCCCTCTTCCTGATATCCAAGAGCTTACTGCACAGGTTCGGCGAGAAGATAGCAGCCAAGACCCCTTCGCAGTGACTCAGGGATATGACCCTGCAGTACCGGATATACCGATACAAGCCACACGCCCTCGCCCAACGCCGCTGTCCCTCAATAGCCCGCTGCCTAACACGCATACTCTGGAACGAGCAAGTTTTGCCCGGCGACTCTATCGTGCATGTGTCGAACAAGGACATCAGTGTCTAACGAATCCGTCGCACCACTTCGAGGAACTTGCGTACAAATTCAGACTTTCGATGAAGCTCTTTCCACTACAACATATCATAGCGCACTTCGAGGAATTTTTAAGCGGTAGACATCACGAAGCCATCATGGAGCTGAATGTTCCCTTCATCAGTATTGGTGGTGCAGGGACGCATTTTCAACACCAGCAGAGAGGCTATCTTGCCGACAATACTTCGTTCCAGCCGAGCATGATACAGGTTGCGGCAGAACAAGTTGACCCTGATATGCGAGGTGACTGGTTTGATTGTTATGATGTGGAAGGATATCTGGAGGAGTGCAGAATCGTCCCCGTTCAGGGTCTTCCGCTGGCAAAGATGAAGTTTCCGAATTTTCCGGGCTTGGAGCGTGACCGTAGCCATCAACAAATCTCCGGTTTAAACGCCCCCCAACATTCTGGGAGCCAAAAGATCATTGACGAAATTACATTGATCCAACGTAAGTCCACCTGGTCAAGCCAACTAAGTTAGTTGAAGGTATAGGCGTCTCGCAAGCTAAACTTCGTGTCTAGTGCTGAAAATGTCTTGTGTGTGCCTCGGCAGAGCCCCCGGCTTTCCTCGCGCTACTGTCGAATCTTTCACAAGTAAATTCTCAGCGTATTACTCAAGCTAGCTTTGAGTATCCGTATATGCACAGGCGTAAGAAATGAAAGTGTTGGCACCGTCACCTGACGTCTCCCACGTGTCACGCTTTTTGCCCGAAGCCTGATATTCCTTGGCCAAAGCTCGTCTTTCGTGCACTACTCCTGTACTTGGTTTCTTCCACAGCCCAAAATCAGAAGCAACAGCGATAAAGCCGTTTGGTTTGGTAAACATAATCCTAGTGTTGATTCACTGCATTGTGCAATTGGTGGCCCTACAGATTGTGCGAATTAAACCTTTAATGAGAGCCCCTTAAAATGTCAAGAATTGAACGGTCTCTCAGGGAAGATTTCCTATCCTTTTAGGAAGCCATGGCTGCACTCGAAGAAGCCATCATACGTGGCTGAAAGGGAGGGACCTAGGTTGTAGTTTTGCTCGCTGTGTGGTCTGCTACCTGAAAACGATAAAAAGGATTATTAAGGAAACAGGGGCTATTCTCGAATGCAAATCAAGAACTATTTGAAGGTCATATGGATCATATATAGGACCAATCGCGCGTTCTAGTGTTCCCAACTATATCATAGTCTCTGGCCGTACGTCTTATACTCCACCGGCTGAATATTACACTGACCATAGTCTTGCGGTATTGGAATTGCTGCCCAACTGCAGAAAGCTCTGCATCTATAGTAAGTAGGAATCTGACCTTCGGCTTCGAGATCCAAATCCCGCGTCCGAGTGATTGTGAATTTCGTTTACAACAAAATGGATTTACCAAATGGCTGCCATTTTGGGCGTCGAAGGACGCCTTTTCCGGCAGCAAATTCGTAGCATGTGACCCGCCCCTTCCGTTACGCCCCGGAGTTGTACTCCTAGAGGCCATCAAGCCAACCTCGAAAACTAGCCGTTTACTTGGTAGGACAGAACTCAGTGGCCCACTAGCAGACCAAATTGAGTGGCTTGGCAAGGATATGGACAAAATACCTCTGAGCAAACTGGAAAAAAAAGTGGTATAAGTGTGTCCCTGTTGATTGACAGGCTTCAGCGGGTCGCAACATTACATGATCTTGGCATCATCCACAATGGCATTCGCAACGATAGTTTCCGATTGCCAGACGACCTCCAGGATATGGTTCTTTACGACTTTTCATCCTCATAAACATCGCATCGATCTCTACTTTCTCCGTCTAAGGCAAGGATCACTGAGAAACGCCAGATACTTCATTAGACGCTGCGACGGTTAGTGAAGTTCCACCAATATATCACGTATGCATGTAGCACGTGCTAAATGTTGTTCCAGGGCAAAAATAATGCAATAAAAGCCTCTTAAAAGGCACATATAATAAGGGGAATACTTATAAAGCCCTACCTCTTCCTTCGAGGTACAATTAGACAAGATCATCAAATACAGTGGATTAGCCCTAAAATAAGTCAGTTCTTACATATTAAGAAATTCGTTATTTATAAGCTACATATGAGAAGCAGCTTCAACAGTTAAAGAATTTTACTAGGCAGCTTACTACAGTGAGTGGTCTTTCTATTTAGGAGGGCCAGGAACGATTTTGGCAGGAGAATCAGGTATTTGAAGTTTAAGATACTAAGTCTATCTAGGGTTTCCTGCAGTTGGACCTCGCGTACATGCGCCACTCGCTTACAGAGTACATTAGCATTGGCTGGATTAATAATCCTATTGACATGCTGTCAACCAGAAAATTTACCGAAATAGACAGTATGAAGCCCGATCAGAGTGTCCACGCTTTTTGTGGCCTAGCAGTCATTGTTTTTGACACTAGTTAATTGATTTAGTTAATTCGCTATGTGGAGCATAAATTAATAATCATGCTGACACAGTTTAGGAAAATATTCTAGGGGTGAGATGCGGACATATTAAGGCCGAGGTTCAGACCATCGGAATGATGTCAACAGTCGGCGGGATCGAATAATCAAGTTTGCCAACCTTCATCTCCACATACATCATTTTCTGACAGGGGTTGGATGGATGTGAATTTTAACAGGGTTTCAGACAAAAGTATTACCGGTGTATCTATTGATTAGTATGTAGTCGTCAGCAGACACTTTCAAAATAGATATTTAAATAATCACCCTCTTGCGCGTACTTCCTGACTTGTACACTCGAGAAGTTATTAGCACTCTACAGACGAAAATGAGAGAAGTCCTTGTTATCGGCGGTACTGGCGCCCAAGGCCTACCGGTTGTCAAAGGTGCGTGCTAAACCAGCTCGTTATTCCTGCAATTAGCTTATATCTAATCGACCGTGTAGCTCTCTCCTCGAGCGAACAATTTTCCGTCCGAGTTCTCACTCGAGATGCAAAATCCGCGCGTTCGCTAGAGATTGCTAAGTTTCCCAATGTGTCTCTAATTGAAGGCAGGCAAGATAGCCAGGAAGATTTGCATAGGGCCTTCAAAGGCGTTTACGGGGCATGGGTTAACACTGATGGTTTTACCCTGGGGGAGAAGAATGAGCTCTTCTACGGCTGCCGAGCTTATGAAATTGCCAGGTATCACGGCTTGCAGCACTATGTCTATGCCTCCGCAGACTTTGCTCTTAAGCATGCTGATTGGGATGAAAATTACCATTGGGGACATAATGATGCCAAGGGCAGAGTTGCAGAATATATTCTCGCTCAAGGACAGGATCAGATGAAAAGCTCAGTACTTACTACAGGCCCTTATATGAACATGCTTTGGGATGGAATGTTTGTTCCTACCAAGCAACCTGATGGCTCATTTGTCTGGGCTAATCCAGCGCGTATGTCTCCCTAACTCTCCTAACACATACTCCACTAGTGACTGATTAATGAACTTTTATCATATAGGATCTGGCAAAATACCTCTCATAGCTCTAGAGGATATTGGACATTATTCTCTTTGGCTATTTAATAATCCACAGGAGTCTGCAGGATTGAACCTGAAGATCGCAACTGAAGAAGTTAGTTTTGCAGATATAGCAGCTACTTTTACTAGGGTAACTGGGAAGAAAGCATTGCACCAGTATGTACCCCTGCAAGAGTACCTACCTATGGCCGAGCCTTTTCCAAATGCTCCAGCAAATTTTGCTGCAGGTCCAGGAGCTGTTAGAGATGAATCAACTATGACATGGCGCCAAAATTTCTCGGTTTGGTGGAGATACTGGGGGGAGGGTCGTGCTGAACACAGAGATTTTGCTCTTCTGGATAGAATCCATCCTCACCGCATTAAGTCTCTGGGCGAATGGATGAATATAGTCTGCTATGATGGGATGCCAAAGAGTGTTCTGAAGGGAGTCGAAGACTTGAAGAGAGCTGCTGCACTGATGCGACAGCAAGTTTCTGCTTTGTCCCAAACCACTGGGGGCGGGAAATTGCATATGTAATTCTATTAGTGTTTCTACAGTTTATATGGTCCTGATTTCTTGGTAATTCTTAATGAACCTCAAAAATGATTTTTCCAGTCAGCTCCCATCTTTTCAACCCAGCAAGTTACGCGACACGCTACTCAGCATCCGGCACTACGTGGCTGTCTTTCTAGGTATTTCGCGTCACGGAAGTAATTGGTAAGATTTCTTGCAGCCTCATGCCTTAAGGCTCCCACAGGGTCTTGGCCTGCAACGGACATACCTGCTGAGTAAGAGCAGCCAAAAGCGGGGTAGAATTCAACCAGTCAGTCAGTCCGCACAATCAACCGATCAATCATCCTCGATTTTGTTGAAACATTATATTGTTCTTATGGATATCGTTGCGTCTCTCTATCCCGCTCTCTCAGAGCGCAAACCCCTTCCCACCTACTACACGCCTGTCTGTCTCGGTCTCTCCCTGGTACCTTTTCTAGTAGAAAACGAAGGCTTCTCCGCCTTCTCCACTTGGCCCTTCTTGCTCTATTTATGCGCCAGCTGGCCGTGCTTCACTACTGGTGATCCCTCTTCAGATTACTACAATAACAGCCATTTTATTGCCTTTCCACTGTGGTACCTTGACTTTGTTTTCCTGACGCCAAGAGACGGCAAGGACGCGCCTGCGTTCATTGGCCGCCAACTTACAGATGAAGAGCGTGGGGATGAGGGGGGCGTTATTACTGTCCAGCGCCAGCGCTGGAAGGATTTAACGACGTTCTCACAGCGTGTGAAGTGGGCATTCAGGCTGATGCTGCCCGTGCATAGGGGAATTGGATGGAATTGGCAGGTAAAAGGCGTTCCTGCGGATCCGTATGCAAAGCTGCCAAGGTGGCAGTACGTGGGCTGGCAAATGTGGTGGGTGGTGTTCTACTACGTGCAATCTATGGGGGCGTTAGCCGGACTGGGTCTAGGATGTGCCTTAAGAGCGCAAATTAGATCAGACGAGCTACTCAAGACAGTTGTCGCCAATGCTATCGTGGGATGGTCGGGTGCGGTGTGGGTATGGGATAGGCTGAATTGCGCATATCGACTCGCGGCTGCCCTGGGTGTTGCGACAGGAGCGACGGAAACTTGGGAATGGCCGCCTCTCATGGGGCCATTGAAAGACGCATGGAGCGTGAGGCAGATGTGGGGGTATGTGCCACAACCTACATAATGAGGTCATTAAAATGCTTACTTACATATATGCAGTGCAACCTATCACCAGGTATGCCGCAGGGTGAGTAGAATCCCAAGACAACTGCATTCCAAGAGATGCTCGTGCTAACAGAACATGTAGCTGTTATCGCAACCATCAAAACGTCTTGTACGTTTCCTACATCTCCGCAAGGGTGGTCTAGCGTCTAGCTACAGCCAATTGTTCATCTCGTTTGGGATAAGCTGCCTTTTCCACCAGGCGCAGATGTTCAATGTCACTCGTCGCGACATGGGCGAGCTGGCCTTCTTCATGTCGCAGCCTTTGGCCATCGTAGTGGAGGACCTGGTGCGCTGGGCATGGAAGAAAACTGGCCTCTCTGGAAAGAGCATATATTTTGAGAAGGTGGTCGGGTATAGCTGGACCTTGGTCTGGTTCTCAACAAGTCTACACTTATACATAAGTGGACTTGTGCAGGCGCGCGTTATCAAAGACTGGCTGTTTGGATACAGACCTTTAGAGATAGGTGCTGATGCTGGACAGCAGCTACTTATGTGGTTACGAGTATAAGCTGAGTAGTATGGGCGCTAGGGCATGCTGTGAGAGACTTTTACCCATTTCTCATCAGTCTTCGGTATATATCAAATTCAAGGTATCCCTCTCGGCTCCACTAGATGTAAGTTAGACTTTCTTTCTAGGCCCCCGAAATAACAGTAAACCCAGACCCAGACAGTAAGGTCTAGTGATCTCCCACCAGCTTTCTGGCGGTTTGTGTTCATTGAGTTGATCCTAGCAAGGTAAAGCATTAAGCAGGCCTTAGCTATTCTTTATCATCGCTGGTGTGATTGGAGCGATAGCGCCGTATCAAATGTTCCAAATCCCTCGAGTGTCAGTAATGCGATAGATTACAGAACAACAGACCTAGTCACTGTATTCTAATAGCGAAATCTTCACAACGGGATAACAGTTAAATGATGTCTGATAAGTTTGAAATTAGTATCATCTGATAGTCCTTTGTGCGCAGAATACAGTGATATGACTAAAAGAAGTTTGATAAAAAAAAGTAAATTAATATAATTTAATTATAATTATAATTTAAAACTATATGTAAAATTCTAATATTTATAGAATTTATAAATTTCTACAGATAATTTAGTAAAAATTATTTTTATATTACTCTTCTCCTCACGCAGCTCGTATAAAAAAAGAGAAAAAAAAAATCAGAATCTCTTATAATATTAAAATAAAATTATTAATAGTATATATTTCTGGACTAATCTCTAAGCTTCCCAGCTGATATAAGAAAAGTATTTAAAAAATTAAAAAAAAACTTTTTAAGATATATTATTTCTAGACATGGCATTCGGGCGAGTCGGGTGAGTTTTGGGGCGTCTAGGGCTCGCCGGATCTCAAACCCAAGCCCTGATTAGCCATGCTTGGCTTGGTATCAGGCTCATTGAATTACCAGAGGATTTATTTATATAGACTTATCAGGACCTGCTAAATATATTTAATTATATAATCTTATTAATTTAAGTTAGAATCTAGTAGGAAAATCTTCACAACGGGACAACAGTCAAATGATGTCTGATAAATTCGAAATTAGTATCATCTTATAGCCCTTTGTACGCAGAGTACAGTGATATAACTCTTATTCTGTTATTTAATGGTTGTGTGGAGTTATAAGCATTTGAAGATGGCAACATACACTTCCGAATTTGATTAGCGCATGTAACGGAAATTCAATCGGGTTAGCGCATGTAACAGAAATTCAAATCAGGTTAGCGTTCTTTTCCACGAACACTAAGCCCAATTGAGTCTATTAAGTGTTACTAAAATAAATATTACAATAATAAGCGTTACTCTAATAAGCGTTACAGAAATAAATATTATAATAAGAATAGATAATATATATTTCTATACTCAGAATTCAGAGATCGATTTTATATTAGAACTTTATATCTTATTTCTCAAACAAAATCTATATCTTCAGAGTTATATTATAGTATTAATATGCTATAGATCCTAAGAATTCTATATTCTTTAGAAAATTTAAATTATATATTATTATTATTCAGTATTATTTACTATATCTAAGTAATATATGTTTGGGTAATACTTTCTTCAAAAACTATAAAGATAAAAAGAAAGATTAGAAAATAAAATTATATTAATATATTTCAACTTCTACAACGCCGCCGAGCCCACAGAAGATGAAGAAAGTCAGTATTATAATAGATAGATTTATTATAGTTTTTATATTCAGTAATATTCTTTCTGCAGATAATACAGTAATAATAATTATTTAGAAGTTATAATTATCTGTAATACTACTTTTTTTAATATATTTTATTATCTCATTTTTCCATAGGACTGCTGAGCTTATATTATAATTATTATCTCTGAATCTCTATGATTTCTACAGAGAATAGATAATAGAGTAAGTAGTAGTATTTCTATAATATTAGAAGTCTTTTTATCACAGAACTTCTTTATTTTTTTAATATATTTTATTATCTTATCTCTCTGTGCGGCTGGTGAGGTAGAAAGAAAAAGAGATTATAAAAAAAAAAAAAAAAAAAATAATTCTATTATTATATTTTAATCTCCGCGATTTCTGTAGAGAATAGATGATAGAGTAAGTAATAGTAATTTTATAATACTGAAAGTTTTTTTATAGCAGGAGTCTTTTATCTTCTTAGTATACTTCATTATCTTATCTCTCCGTACGGCTGGTAAAATAGAAAGAAAGAGAAATTATAAGAAAAAGAAAAAAAAAAAAATTATTTTATTATTATATTTTAATCTCCATAATTTCTGCAGAGAATGGATGGTGGAGAAGAACAGTATTATAGTAAATAAATTTATTATAATTTTTATACTCAGTAATATTCTTTCTGTAAAAGATACAGTAATAATAATTATTTAAAAGCTATAATTTCTTATAATATTATTCTTTTTAGTATATTTCATTATCTTGTCTCTCTGTGCGGCTGGTGAGGTAGAAAAAAAGAGAAAAAAAAAAGAAAAAAAA